AAACTTATTACATGATTAAAAACTAACCAACAACCTCACAATCCTGAATCTCAGTTAAAGCCGGTATTCGTGAATATAAAAGTATAAGCAGGTAACATTACGACTTCATGGTCCCTCAAATTACATACCCATTAAATTTCCAAATTACTTACGAAAATGGAGAAAATTTATTTCACTTTTGAGCCCTTGTGCATTATTATAGTCAAGAAGAGCATGTTTCAAATAGTCTAGGTTCTGTTATTTGAATCACCCTGTATGTACTTGTCACGTACTTGGTTTGTGTAGAAAAGGTTCGAACGAGCGTCCGATGTCAAACAACGCGATGTAACGTCATATTAAGTGCCTGTTTTCAAATTAAATATTATTCCAGCATATCTAAATGTCGCACTACCTGTATTTTAAATATTTCGTGGACGAACTGTATATATACTTGATTCTCAAACGGAAGGGTGCGATCCACAAGAGGGCCGTAGACAAATATTTGAGAGGGCGTGAAGCTAATAAAAATAGGAATATTTGTTAGATTTAATCCTACCCTATTTTGGATATTAACATTGCAAGATTTATTTCATCATTTACGTTCCATCCATGTTTTTTCAACGTGTTTTATGAATAAAACATACTTTTGCCTTACTATCTGTTATTGGACACGTAGTGGACATAACGATCGTTTCAATATTATGTTGTTCTTGTTGTTCTTGTTATTTGGCACAGAATAACACAACTAGTGGATTTATTAAAAAACCGCTTTTCTCTTCGAATACTGGACCGATTGCTTTGAAATTTTCAGTGGTTGAAGATAAAATTTTTCCCCAGAAGGCTATTACTTTTATTTATTTTAAATATTTCTGTTAGCTCTGTGAGATTTGTTTTGTTTGCCATGACGTCATTACACGTTCTGCGGATATCGGACGCCATTTTGTGCCCTACTGTACTGCTTCGCTTGGTGTGAATATGTTTGTAGACTGTGATATGAGGGTACGGTAAACCGTACTGTACTACGTGTCCATATATTTGGGCGTAGCTCTCTTGTTTGTAGTATATTGTTAGCTAGTTATTTTTGAGGTGAGCGAGACTTGACAAATTCTAAAAGAGGGCGTGGCTTAAACAGTTTGAGAACCACTTATCTTTATTGGATATACCGGTATGTAAAAAAAAACATTGTTATAAGAAAACGTTATAATTTGCGAGCAACGCGAATTTCTAAACTTTATCGGGTCATGATAGACTAAAGATACGACGTTTAAGTATATATGTGCATTTTATGAGGAAAATTATCAAGGCGTACAATCTAATCTAGAATCATGATAGTAGGATATAATGGATAAAAAAATGTGGCGTAAATTAGATAAGATTAGTTATTACGCCTTGGTAATTTTACTATATATATGTATATATAAACGCTAGTATTATTACCCTGTCTTGCCCCGGTGAGGTTTTTCTGTATAAAATTCGTTACACAGGCAAAATACATCTTTTTGTCGTCACCTATTGTGCTCTATATATATCCTCAATAGGATTATACACGGTGACAATAATGTTACAACTACTTATATTTACGTCTAATTGTCGTAAGTATGTACGTAGTATGTGTACAAGGTTAGGGTTAGGCAATAATTTTAATCCAATTTTCCTTGTTTTAGTTCCCTTACGAGTTCGGGAACTAGCCAAGTTCCCGATAGTATTTGTATCTGGAATTATGACCTAACCGTAACCTAGTACACATACAACGTCCTGGTGTCCGCCATCTTGGTTCGCATAACACAGGAGTACCGCTAAATGTACTCGAGAATATGAAAGCCTACATCGATTAGAATGAGGAAAAGTAAAGAAAAATGTTGGAATTACCTATGATATATTCTCAAAATAAAAAAATATGGTAATGTTATCCCTAGTAGACAATGTAAGTACCAGAATGGGGGGAAAGTAAAACAAATGTATGCAAACACGCAATGTTATGTATAAGCTATCAAAAAAGTTTTAGTTTGAGGTTAGATTTGATACAGATAAAGGATGCCTCTCGACCTCGAGGCAGTGGTATATGCGAGAGACATTCCGTACATGGGAAGTAAAGTGATGTTCGAATTACCTTTGATATTGCAAATTATTAATACCTAATTTAGAAACTCGATAGTATGAAATAATAGATAAAAGAAATGTGGCGTAAGTTCGATTAGATTAGATTAGATATCACGCCTTGATAATTGTTCTTACTACCGGTATGTATATATATATTTACGCTAATATTATTACCCTATCATGTTTTTTTGCATAAAAATTCCTAACAGAGGCAAAAAACATCGTTTTGTTATCACCTATTGCGCTTTAGTTATCCACAATATATATTAGTATATTATTAGGTGGCAATAATGTAATCACTACTTATATTTACGTCTAATTGCCAGTTAACAGCTAAAGGTACTCAAGAAGTATGCAGGTTAGAATGAGGTCAAGTAAAAAAGATCGGTCTCGAATTCCCAGTAGACCATCGTGCCCAAAGTGTAATAATACCAAATTAAAAACAAAATGTATTTTAAGCAAAGAAACACGTGATTTGAGCCGATTTATTTTATAACAATTTTATTAGGATAGCAACTACTTTAGTCTAATTAGACTAATATAAAACCATACAGTATATTTCCTATTCTGGTGGAAACGTAGACTTACAAGACAAATTCCTCGAAAAGTATCTTTAACGTTTTATTTGGTTAGAATAATGAGCACCTTGTAATTAGATGTTCGCATTCGCCAAAATTGTATAATTAATTGCCCTACACTTATTTAAAGAATTTGATGATTTAATGTTGGAACAATGCCAGCCCAACGACACAGAGCAAAACGTAACATATTTACAGATGATTTCGTTTTTTAATTCTACTTATATTAGGTTAAGTTATTTTCTATATATTGCTCTATATTCAATCGAAGAATTCGATAATTCAATGTTGAAACAAAGCCAGCTTTGTGACACAGTTTACTAGAGCAAGGTTAGGGACTATGCTGTAGTTTTGTGATTTGATTTTCAATTCTGTTTATAGTAGGTTGGGTTAATAAAAACCAGGTTAGGTTATTGTCCATATTCTAACTCAGGAGTTTTTGAACTTTTGGTCTTATGGAGCCCATGAAATGGTTGACTATTTTTTGCGGAGCCTCACAATAAATTTATGAAAAATAAAAGCAACCATACAAATTGATGCTTACCTATTAATGTTCCTGCTGAGTAAACTAAAATTATTTTATTATTATTTTATTTAATGACTCGGATGTATTTTTTGCTGTATATTTTAAAACATTCAAGATTTTAATACGTAAACGAATAGCTAGCGGTGCCCCTATGGTTCTCTCGTGAGGTCCCGGGGCTCCTTATGGAGCATTTTGAGAACTTATGGGCTAACTCATCTTAACCTAGACAAAATAAAAGATCTTAGAGTAATTACTAGCGTGTTCACTGCCTCCTTTTGGTTAGGTTTGAATGTCAAGCAATAACCTATAACGGAACCTAACAGAATCGGAGAATACAGTTTGGATAGCAGGGGTGGGGTATTAACAAGATAATGCCAGATGTTAGAATTGATTTTGATTTTAATTTTTTTGTATTCGTAAATGCAGGCCAATACCATAATTATGTAAACAATCATGAATTTTAGATAAATAATTCTTTGTGTTTTTAGCCATTGTACAATATCAGGTCACTCTGTATGGACAATGTGGCTTATATTACCGTTACCGGTATGGAACGGTATTTTATATTAACGATACCGGTACAATCTTGTCCAGAATTTATACTTTGCTATTTTTCTGTGCCCAATGAGCCTGTGTTGCAATTTGGTAAAGTCAGTCTAATATTTTATGTGTTAAATGAATTTTACTCAAAAACTCAACTTTGTTCAATTCGAAGCATCTCGATAATAGATAATAATAGACGGCTTTGAAATAAAAATCGGATTTTGCTACTGATGTATATTTGATTTTGTACAGCTTTAATTAATTTCGGGATATTTGACAAGATTAAAATAATCGCACGCGGCTAAATAAGTTGAACTAGATTTGATATAAATCGGTATTTGATTGCAAAATATTAGATTTTATACAATAAGGCGCTTCAAGTCGTACTAAAATCGGTTCAATATCGCTTTAACATAGAATATTACATACCATAGCGACTAATTTGTTGTATTTTAACCACACAGACAATATTCAGAAGCCGACTGAACTAGAAAAATAAACCCCCGCGGGCTTCGGATGAGATATGCTTGAAAAATAGCTCATACTCGAATTTGAATCATAGGAAGATACCGGGATGACAAAACGTCTATGACATGTAATGTCATCATTCCGAACTAGGCATTGCGCAAGCTGTATCTGATACGTAATATGGTATATATAATATATAGAATTTTTAAATGGTCCATACTTGTCGAGAAACCAATGCTGGTATTCTCAATACTATGCAAAGGTCAGCGCCGTGACCTGATTACGTTAGGAGTAGGGGTGGATATATGCTGTCCCAATTGCCGTTTGAATGAGCTCTCTCATAAAGGGCATATAGGGCTGCCATGTGGCAGTTGGTTTTTGTTTTCACGGCATCGACACAAACGTATTTCTAATTCAAATTGTTTTGTTTTTATTTGATTCCTGGTTTTAAAAGAGACTAATTCATTACATTTGTCAACATGCTTTTGTGTGTGTTTGTAATAAAATAAAAACCAACAGATGTTGGACGCACCAAATAAACACATGTGATGAGAGGATTTTTTTATCCAGAAGTATTGAATTGTTATTGATGCGATATCAGGGCGTATTCTTATGGTAAATCTTCGGTGTTCCCGAGGTATGTTTTTCCTACGCAAATTTTCCGGACACGGATTCAGACAGCATTTGGCCCTAAAATAATATCCCTAAACTCGATGATAAAAGTATTTTAGTGGCAACAAAGATAGATATACTGAATAATATAAAAATAGAAAATATGATTTATTTATATTTCGTTTTACTTGTCGTAACCTTATGATGTGTTTTTCACAGATCAGTAACTGTACTCATAAATACAATGAAAGAAACATTAAGACGAATATTCATAGTCCTAATTTTTTTATCGATTGTATCTTTATTCTCCATTTTCACTCTAAAACAAAGTCAACTGGCCTACATGCCAGATGGAGATCGTCTACATGCGAGGCAAGAAAGAATGCTCAAAGTAACAAAGCCACTAGAGAACTGTATGTAAGTGGAATATATTTTTTCTGTTCGTTGTCCACATATGTTCCATTTTAAAACGAATTGCTGCGGCGCATCATGTTGTTTGTTGAAAATGTTATAAATAGGATGGTTGCGCCATAAACAAGGCGGTCGCATTTCCTGGTAAATTAATATCACAGAAGTACATTATAATGAATATAACTTATTTATAAACTTTTTTTTTTAAATCCTAATGTGACGATTACGCTAGACTTCAAAGGCTCGAACGTAATTAAATCTTTATTTTATCCCCCCCCCCCTTGTTCTTTCAGAAAAAAATTAATCAATAAACTTTGAGGAATTTCGCTGCCTGCTTGTCTGGAACGCCGTCAAATTTTGCAGACTAGGTCAGCAGAATAGGTATAAGACATAGGCAATTGCGAGTAAAGCTCCAAACGAGAATATCGGTCAGAGATCGAAGACTTATCGATCGAAAGTTAGGGGCTCCCCAAAACAGCGGTCTTACTTCATAGTGACACCTTGTGTCCCATCACTAATTAATTAATAAATACCTCGCTAATTATACTACATAATTCATCCAAAATCAATAGGCTTCTGGTACGACATATGATGAATGCACATGCAAAATCTGGAGCAGATTCAATCTCGCTTCCGTGAGATATCGCGCGCATCTAACACACAAACAAACAGACAGACAAATACCCATCAACATGCTTACCGACTAAAATCGATAAGTAATAATGGAATGATCGGAACTCGATCCCGTGATCTAGCCAAGCAACTAGTGCAACCTCGACTCTACCGCACTCAGCAATATTAACAAACTTTTTTTTCTAGATCCCCCGAATCAACTATCACATCTACCTCAACATCTTCAACTACAAAACCACCAAGCACAGCAATACATTCTTCAATACAATGCACCAACGGGCCAAAAAAAAACTTGATGTTTTTAAAAACGCACAAAACTGGAAGTTCAACAGTACAGAACGTTCTTGTGCGACACGCAAATAAAAACAATTTATTCATTGCATTACCTGCTTATGATATATTATTCAACTACCACTCTGGCCTCGGGTTCAGAAGAGACTTTGTTAAGAAAACACCGGCCGACAAAACCGTCAACATGCTCGTACATCATATGGTTTTTAATAAGAAAGAGGTAAAATAGATCAATAGCGTGTGTTTAATAACTTTCTATAAGAAAATTTGTTCAAAGTAAGCCACACTAACCAGTGATCCCTCCTCCCTCCTGAAATTTGAAGTTCCTCTAATTTTGGGCGCTTCTGAAGTATGTGCACCAGGATGGCGCACAACCTGAACCCTATCCTTGTACACATACTATGTTCAGGTTGTGCGCCATCTTGGTGCACATAAATCGGGAGCTCCTATTTTGAGGTGTAACATCACACTTTAAATTCTCAACTCAAATAGAGTGTGACTTTATTTGAATACCCAGAAAGTGGCGTATAAACCAGTGCAGATGGTCAGTTATATTCATAACACATTATTATGACTTACCTTGGGCTCTCCCTTTTAAATAAAAAAATTCTCACTCAGGGGGTCTACACTTCAAACAAGGACCCGTATAAACAGCCACCCATATCTAACGATATTAGGACGATTAGTAGCATTGGAAAAGTTGTCGATCCAATTTATTACACCCTGATGTATAATATCATATATCTAACTTTGTTTTTTTCTAGGTAGCCGCTGTATTGCCCCCAGATACAATCTATTTTACCATACTACGAGATCCTGCCACGCAATTCGAGTCAGTCTTCAAATATTTGAATCGAGACGTCCGTGCATTTCGTAGAGTCAAGGGAGGGATGAAAGAATTTCTCACAAACCCAGAAAAGTAAGTTTTTTTTCATACGACTCTCACGCGCGACTTTTGCTTTAAACAAGGCATTCTAACGATATGTAAAAAGCTACTGGTATTTGGAAGAACCGGAATCTTACCGGTTCGGCAGTATCCACCCAGCATTTCTCAAACTGTATTCCGCGGAACGCTACTGTTCCGTGAGTTTCTTCAGAGCGTTCCGAGCACTAGGGATTGAAATTGCGACTGAATTGGTGGCCGTGGCTATTTCGTTCGTACTCCAGCGACTCTGGGTCGTGAATTTGTCTCCCAACAGGCGACAAACAGGTGTGCAGAAAGCCCCTATTATCAAAACAGGAGGTCAGGCCTCGTGTCAGTCTGAAAAACATAAAGTTATCGTTAACCGTTCAATATTGTTAACCGTCGGCCTAATTTTTTAATTGTTAAGTTTACAGCAAACATTATAATTTCACCATGTTTATTACAATCTGGGTGAGGTGGGGTCATGGGCGTTGAACCCGACATATGTTTCTTCGATGTCATTCTACCACGCTGAATTTAATTTGAATAGATGAGAACATTAACCTGTCCTAAAGTAATATTCCAGTGGTTTTTGTCGTAATTTATGTTTAGTTTATTACTTTACAAACAAATCCATTAGTATCACAGACACTAGACTTAGCAGTACCTTAAAGCACCAACAAAACATGACTCAGATAAATGCATGCCATTAATGACTTAGCAGATAAATTACTGTTGCCAGTAAACAGATAAAGTTAAAAATAACAAAAGATAAATTATCACGCTTTATAACCTTTTTTGATACATTTCCCTTTGCGTGTATAAATAATAAATATGTATTATACAATAATACTGAATAATTACAAGCGATTATTTACAAGCAAATACAATGTAACCAATGAAATTAATCGTGGTCAGGAAACGCTGACCCATTCTATTGCAAAGGGCCGATTTCGCAATAACCTCATTATTATGAAGTGCTCTTCGCATTTGCACAAGACTTCAGACATGGAGCCACTGATACGCAGAGACTTAATATGTTTTGGAAAGTACCAGGATCTAACTTGGCAATCTTGCCCCATTTATTGTGCTTTGGTTGTGAAGGTGGGCATGGAGTTCAAAATAGAAAAAGGTTAACCCAAAACCTCAACAAAGTTAGGACAGTGATTCACCGTAAATACTGCCGTTTTATTTCAATTCAAAGGAACACATTCTATGATATATAGCAGTGGTTCCCAACCTTTTGTGACTCGTTTACTCCATCCGGAGACTTTTAGCTCTCATGGCATCTAGTTTATCATTCCAATAGTTTTTTGTATTGTCATGCTAATCGGAGTTTTCCAAATTTCAAACAAATCATGCTCAACAAAGTGAAAACACTCGATATAATATTCATCAAGTATTGAAACTGGGAAGAACTAGGAGTTCTCGTGTAAAGTGAAAAGTAAAATCAGTTTTGCGCCTAGCATTGTGGCCTCCTCTCCACTGCTCTTTGGCTCTCTTGCGTGGGCGGCCATGGACTCCCGGTTGGAAACGGCTGAGTATAGGGGAAAAAAATTCATTAATTGAGCTTGTCCGCCGATCTCTTCAGCAGCATACTCGGCACCGGTATCGATTATATTCGAGCATTGCTTTTTCTTGTTTAGTTCAATATAATTTTAATTTACAGATACTACAAAGGGGAAGGAGACGGGCATATATGGTGGTTCGGAAAAAATAACGTTATGTACGACCTCGGATTCAATAATACGAACGAGACTGACCAATACATCCAGGAGTCAATTGAGGAAATCGATAAAACTTTCCAGCTGGTTCTAATTTCCGAATACTTTGATATTTCTTTGCTCTTACTAAAAGATTTACTGTGCTTGGATATGAGAGACATTGTATACTTGTCCATGAACGCCAGAAATCAGTCATCCGTGGAACACGTGACATCTGACGTCACTGATTTAATCTATAATTGGAATAAGGCTGACACAGCTTTGTATAAACACTATAATAAGACTTTCTGGCAACGGGTTGAAAAATACGGGAAAGAGAGAATGGAAAAAGATTTATTAGAATTCGAAATTTTGAAGAATGAAACTGCAAATTTTTGCGTTGAAGATAAGTTACTCAATAATAAAGATGTGAAAGATAAATCATTAAAAATGTTTAATCCTCAAAACATTGATATTGGACAATATAAATTAAAAGAGGAGGCTAAAAATAATATGACCTGTCGAGGAATGATACTGCCTGAAAAAGCATGGTATAACATTTTTTCAAATCGACAGTATCGTCATATTCCACAGAAAAAAACTGCAGCAAAATATAAAATGGTTAAACAGCAGCCAGGAAATACAAAAACGGTGATTCCAAATCCCGCTGATGCCAATGAAAACGTATGAGTACAAACACGTCAAGCGCCCAAAGTCGTTGTCAAGTTTCAAGCTGGAAAACCCAACAAAACCCCGGTAGTAAATAAAGTCAAGCTTGCCCCTCACTCTAAATGAATCGGAAGAGACAAAAATAACAAATTTCGGCCTCATGAAGAATGCGCGCCAAGATGGCGCACAACCTGAACTCAGGTTGTGTACCAGGAAAGGGTTCAGGTTATGCGACATATTGGTGCGCATACTTCAGAAGCACCCAAATTTCAAACTACAGAGCATACGAGTCTTTCAAAGATAACCAAGATTAGCAAATTTTTTTGTATCGGTTCACTATGTTGCTACCGCGCGGGGCAGAAAATGGGATGACACCCACAATATATTCGGGCTCCGGTATCCGTTTGACTCTTAGGCGTGGGCCATGCTGACAGAAGTCCAAGTGTTAATTTAAGTTCTGTTTTTATTTATTTGATACCTGAAACTCCGACTGATTAACATCGCCATCTCGCGGATATATATTTACAACACACAATTGTAAAACGCCACATCAATCAATCAATTTTATTTCGGTCACTCTGGTATAAAACAAAACAATAACAAACGAACAAACACAAAACACAGAGGACCTGAAGGACGGGCATAACTTAAAGAAAAGTTAAAACATGAACACACATTTCAAACCCTTTTGGCAGTCATTTACTCAATGCGATCAGGCAGTAGCACACAAATGATCTAAGTCAGTGCTTCCCAAACTTTTTCAGTTCGCGACCAACTTTTTTTGTCATTTGTTTTTTTGCGACCCACAATGAAATATTAATATATGAGAAAAAACACAATGTATGCACATGCAATTAACTGTTGTTGCAAAACTTGAGCTTGCATATTGGATATTATCAGATCAAGTCTACCCGATTTTAACAAATTACTAATCTGCTTAGTAGCTTACCAACACTTTCCAACATGTCGATACATACGTACATGACGAATGATTCTAATTGTAAAATTTCATAAGTGTTATTGTTACGTAATAATGCCACAATTTTCCGAATTTAATCGAACACTGTATTCGGAAATACTTCACGACCCATCATTGGTTGGGAAGCATTGGTCTAAGCTATTTATCGACTTGCCGCGGCGCTCCAGAAGTATGTGTACCAATATGGAGGTCACTAATTTTTTCGCCCATTTCACATCAAATTGTGTATGGGGACTGAAACATATGAACAGGGGTATATTCACTTGGCTAACATAGACAGTTCCCGAACTCTTAATCGAACTAAAATAAGGCAATACGAAATAAAACTATAGCGTAACCCTAACCTGGTTCACATACGTCGGGAGTGCCCTTGCCGCAATTATATCGCCGCATTATATTTCGCATTTTTCAGATATGGAATTTTTTATCTTCTGTCTCATTGCGGACTAGGAGCCATTTTGTGGTTTGGGTTTCAAAGCTGAACCTATTTTGGTTTTAACTCAAGATAGTACCTTAATAAAAATTTAGTTTTGTCTGCCAAGTTATTACGAAAATGCGATTTTGCCGTAACGTAATGTGACATAAGCTAATTTGGGTTTACCGCGGTCTTACTTACTTATTTTCCTACACCTCTTTCCTCAATGCGGATATTTACCTTTTTCATCGTTCATTTTTTTACTGTTCTCGCAGCGTATCTTACAATGTTCAAATAAATTGGGAAAAAGGTTTAATGTTTTCACAAATAATATATATTTATGAAATGTTCATGTTAGGTGATATTTATGACGTCATTATTACTGCTTTATTTATGTCGCTTGATGCCACTGTTGAGCTCTTTTTCTCTTGATGTATCGCATGTTGCTTAGTGCTATGATTTACAATGTCTATGTTATCATAATATACTCAAAGCATCCTGAACAGTTGTGTGTTTACCCACAAACAAACAGTCCATAGGATGTTTGTTGAATTAGTTAAACAGGTTACAAAGTAAAAATACGCGCCACTAGCGGGTTCAATGAGTGTACATCAAGATGCATTTCTCCGAGCTCTCCTATATGGCGTTGACTGTTTCGTTAAGTCCGGGCTCTCCGTTTTATCTGTTTTATTTGAAAAAAAGGGAATACCATCTAAAAGCTTCCCATGCAAGCAAGTAAGTATAAAAAAGGTAATTATCGGTGAGTCGATCCTGGTATTTTAAACAAAAATAAAATTAGGTAAAATTAGGTTATTGTCCCTTCTATCTCTGTATATCTTGTTAGCCTAACTTAGGATTAACAGAATCAAAGATGATGGGGCGATAACACAATAGTTTTTATTCTCAATTATTTTACATTTTTGCGCACAGAAACAAAATCATTGAACCTACCAATATAATGTGTATCCGCCTACGTAACCAGTATACCCGGATGGATCAAATACGTAGCAATTTAACGATATTCTGACGATAACTTGAGATTTTTTTTGAATGGCGTGTTGTATATATAGATTGCAATTTCAAATGATATATTCTCTTGTGTTAGGTTAGAATAAGGTATTATCATGTCTTGCCATGTTCTTGATAAGAGGTGGAACTATAGATCGGTTTGTCATATGTTGTTGTTCTTATTGGTATTTTTCTTCTTGTTGTTAACGTATGAAAAAATGGCCTTTTCCATTAACTACTGAGGTAATTGCTTTGAAATATTTAGTGGTAAAGATTTTATTGTTTGCTAGAAGGCTATTACTTGTATTTATTCAACAAATTCTTGTGGGCTCTATGTGATTCGTTTTTCACTTCGAAATTTTGTGGTGTGACCCCTTAAAAATTAATACAAATTATTTGTAGCGGTTCTTCGACCTCTCTCATGTTGCTCTCTTGCTTGGCGAACCCGGAAATTCGCTACTCGGAAGTTTCTGACGGTACCGACACTGCAAAAGGTAGACAGACTACCTCTTCTCTTTGATCTTCGTGTCAATATATTTAAGCACCTCTCTCATGCTTCTAACACAGATTGAACTCGTATTAAGAATAGTCTATCAGCATATCTTTAGAATAACTACATTAACGGTTAAGGTTTGCACGCTCAATCTGGAAGAAAGGAAGCGATAGATTGATTCACGGTTATATTTTGCTTGGGCAGTGCAAAGTGAGTGCTAATTTTTTTTTTTATTTGTGCTTCTGAGAAAATGAATTTTTCATTTTTTTTTTTACAAGTTGGGCAATTTGTTTATTTTCATACTATGGGTTTTGAAGGAAATTTGGTACTCCCGTAGTGTGTGTACCAGGTTAGGGTTAAGCCATAATTTTATTCCGATTTTTCTTATTTTAATTCTATTTTATTTCTGGCATTGTCTGTGTTAGCCAAATGAAGATACCCCCTGCCCATATAGGTTTCAGTTCATTTACACAACTTAATCTAAAGTAGCCGAACAAAATTAGTTACCTCCATATTGGCACACAAAGTTCTAGAGCGCCGGAACTTGTATTTTAAATATTTGAATTCAATTTAAGGTGAGCAATTATAATAAAAGTTATAAATATAAAGTCAGAAGTTCAAATCCGTAGGGCAGTTGGTTAAAATAAGCTTTAATATTGTTGCAACATATGCTAACCGACACAGTTAGTAGAAATTTTGAGATTTCGATTTGAATTTCCGATAGTACTTTCATGAAGTTACTGAATGTTAGAGTCATTATGGGAGAATTCATTTTACAAATTCCAATCATTATGGTTGGAATTGAAAAGTGGTAATACAGTGATAATCGGACGGACATAACTCGTTTAAGATTGGTTGTTATGCATTCAAAAATACCCAAAATATTACCAAAACGTGTAACTAAACAACAATCATTATTTGAATATGTACATGATAAAGATTAAACATAATGATTCCAAGCATTATGGTTGTGGAGAATAGAATTCATTAATACGTTCTTAGCATAGGGAATATAGAATTGGGTTAAATATAGGTAATCTGCAAAGATGATACTTTATATGACGGTTGTTTACGCTTTTAGCTTCGAAAAGGAATGTGTTAGCAGCCAATGATATCTGACGATAAGTAAGGGGATATTATTCTTAATTGGAAAATACGGAATATGACTCAATTTTTTACAAAACTGTTAAGCGTTAGGAATACGCTCACCACCGCATCTCTGATTACCTTTCGTGGAATCGCAGGTTCAAATCCCATGCGGGGATGATCATGTGCGAGAGGATTGATGGACTCCTCTTTGCGTCGTAGGGTGGGCCACGTAACCGCTGGTTCGGTTACGGTTTCCTCCACCATCAAATCCATGCTGCCGAAAACAAATAACTAACTAATTCCTTACCTGACATGGAATGGTAACCGGGCGAGAGGCCGTGGTTCGCCATATAATTAAGCCGTGTTATCGCCTTTCCTCGCCCCAGGGATAAATATGACAATCGCTAGCGAGCGGACATTCGGGAATTGAATATTAAAGCCCAGTGGGGGAGTATGGGCTTCGCATAAATACTACAACACGTTATTTTTTTTTATATGTATTGCGCAAAAGAGGTATAACGGCAACGAGATTCTATTTAGAATTAGACTTCTAAATCGCCTATACTAGCTACCTGACCAAGTCGTTATGTTCGTTATTTGTTTTTTATTGACGCCATGTTGGTCTGATTATCAGTCGTAACCCACTGCGTATAAAGGTTTTTATATGACGTGCTATATGGTTACAGAATAGCGTTGCAATTTAGGGTTGAATTGAAGCAAATGGGATCCAAGTTGGCACAAATACAAAAGACTAGGTGAATGTTTAAAGAAGTACATGCAATGGAATTTACATGTTATTGGTTAGTTAGAATAAGCCAGTGTTTCCCAACCTTTTTTGGTCGCGGATTATTTTCTCACCAGCGAAAACCTTTGTGGAATCAAGGTGCGTTTATTGCAACCGTACTCTGTGTGGAGAAGTAATAAAACCAAACACAACAGAATATTAACGAATATCAAAATCGGAAATTCGTCGCAATTACGCGTTCGTTAAAAGAGGCGACTTTTTAGTGTAATATGGCCTTTTCTGTCGCACAATATTAAATCCATGACAGCGACGAGAATTTAAATTGTCTTGCTATTATAATTTAATTTTGTTCATAGTACCTCGAGGTTGCGTTGTCTTACAACAATATGGAAGCATTATTTCTTTGAAATGCCCGATTATATTTAGTTTTGATACATGTTTTTTGCGATCCTGCGAATTTGTTATTGCCGTTAGAAAAATCATACTATCTGCTATAAATTTCCAGAAAGTACAACTTGGTTCAGTACCTATTGAAAATAAATTTGATGTATATTGGTGAATCAAAAATACATATTCATCGCCTTGCTTTATTTTTTATTAATTTAATTGTGATCATTTTTTAATCTGCGGTTGTGTTGACGAAATAGAAGCAATACTACTCAGAAAATATCATGGCAATCCGTGGACACAAAAAATGCGTGGTAAAGTGCCAGATTATATTATGTTTTGATTCGTATTTTTGTGATTTTAACAAATCTGAGCTGTCCGTACAACACTTACGGCGCTACAGTACTGTACGTACCAATGTGGAGGCAGTTAAGTAAAGAATCCAAAGGGAAAATGCCCTGGTACGTATACCACGGTAGCACCCAAAATTATGCGATTTGGAATGTCTAAAGGAGATATTTTAATCGGTCACGGACCATCATGAAAAACAAACTTTGGTGTCCTCCGTTTTATTTTTAGTATTTTGTATTGCCGCTTTTCAATTTAGAAAATTTGGGTTGCCACCTACCAGAATTTTTTTATTCCACGTTGTTCGAACTCGCGAGAAACACCACTTAGGTATCTATCGACGCGTGTGCCGACTCATGCTTTCGTCGGAAATTCGCAAGTGAGTTGTGAAATCCAAGCGTTTGATTTAGCGACGCGCCAGTGACCTATCGCGTCATCTGTTACCAAATTTTCGAATAGTAAATTGCTATTTCAATAGTTGAATATATGCTCAGCCCTACTCAGTAACCAGTAACTATTGACTCGATTAATGTTATGTGAATGAACTTGCTTTTTATGTTTTATCTAAATTCTAACGTAAATCGTAACTTGGCTGATAGTTAAGTTTCGTAAATACGTTAGCGGCCCGCAGTGAATTTCTGGTTCGTTGCGGACTCATTCAAACGCTCCACGGACTTATTTAAGACCGCGGGCTCGGGTTGAGAAACACTGGAATAAGCCTATGAAATGGGGTTCATGGCATGTTCTGGGTAAGAATTGATGTAAAACTTTAGGCCAACGGTGGGCAATAATATGACCTGTCGAGGAATGATACTATCCGAAAAAGCATGGTATAACATTTTTTCAAATCGGCAGTACGGTCATATTCCACCGAAAAAGCTGCAGCAAAATATAAAGTGGTTAAACACAAAGTGCAGCCGTCAGGAAATACAAATACGGTGATTCAAAAACCAACACCTCACTGTCAATGAAATGGCAAAAGCACAAATACGTCCAGCGCCCAAAGTCGTTGTCAAGTGTCAGGCTTGAAAACCCAGAAAAACTCCGGTGGTAAATAAAGTCAAGCTCCCCACTCACTCTAAATGAATCGAAAGAGGCTAAAAAATGAAAAATTTAGAATTACAGTACATACGAGTCTTATGAAGATAAGGTAAGGTTGTATTGGTTCCAGCCCACCATGTTGCTACCGCCGAGAGAAAAAAATTGGGCGCTCCAGAAGTGTGTGTACAAATATGGAGGTAACTAATTTTGTTTGCCTACTTTACATCCAGTTGTGTAAAGGGACTGAAATTTATGGGCAGGGGTATATTCAATTGGCTAACACAGACAGTCTCCGAACTCGTAATAGAACTAAAATGAGGAAGAAGCGGAATAAAGGTAAGGCCTAACCCTAACTTGGTACACATACTACGGGAGTACCAGCTTTTTTGTATGTGTTCAAGCTAACGAAGTTGCCACAGCCTAGAGCAGAAATAGGATGACCCTCACAACCTATTAGCTACGGACTTTGCTCGACTCCTGGCGTAAACCATGTTGACAGAATTTTAAGTGTTAATTTAAGTTCTGTTTTCTAATTATTCTGTAGAACCGAATACTGCATTTTTTTTCAGTTATGTAGGCTATTGATATAAGTTGTTGAGTTCTGTGAAATGCGCCTATGTATATTTTTTCATGGACGAAATTCAAAATTTTGGCCCGGGCGATATTTTGTATTATACGACTTTATATACCACACTGTATCTTGATGGGCGCAAATGCAAAATCCACTCAACATGAATATGAAATGCTATGTATACTTTTGCCGCATTTTCTTACGAATCTTCATCTTTAACAATATTTACAATCATTTTAAACGCAATGATTATGGTGTGGATTACTAATTCTGTTAACTAACGATACTGGAAATAGCCTCAATTTTTATTTTTAACTTCCAAAATATTTATTATCATTTATAGACCAATACGGACGTATGTATACTATTTTTAAAAATTATTTCTATGTGAAACCTGCCAGAACCAGGTGAGCAGTAGTAATTCAAAGCTATTAGGCCTTGTTATATGACAGTAGTTCCCAACTTTTCATGTCTCGTGTCCCCATCCAAAGGCTTTTAATACTCATGACCGCCATTTTATTATTCCAGTGATACCAAGAGTGTTATTATGGTCGGTAGATTTCAAATCCCGTTACATTCAAGCAATCCATGCTCAACAAAGTGAAAATACCTTTCGAAATAACCTTAACAAGCTATGAAACTATAAAGAATGGTAAGTTTTATTTTTAAAGGAAAATTCAAAATCAATTCTGCGCCTAGCATTGTAGACCCCCTTCCAATACCACGGTTGGGAACCACTGTCATATGAGATGTATGTATGATGAGATGTATGTATCACTGAGACAACTAAAATATGGCTGTGGAACAAGGGGAAAATAATTTCCGACTTTAAACTCCGAATTATTGAAAAAACGGCTCTGGATACGACACTTGAATCTGGTTCGTCCAAAAAATTGGTCTCGAAGTATGCAAACCAAAATGACGGACACCGGAACGTAGTATCTTGGGGAGCCTTTCTGCTGGTTAGTCGAGTCATCTCGTTAGAGCAGGGGTGGGCAATCACTTTTCTGAGTGGGCCAGTTAGAGATAATTGACTTGGATCATGGGCCGAAGGCTCAAAACTCCACATGAAAAACTATGAACGAAAAACAGTTTATTTACAAGAGCTAGGCTAACGTTTAAAGCACGATGTAACAATTGGGGTCATTATGAACTTATTTTTGACATTTTCAACCAAAATTTATATCCATAACAAGTATAGTCGTAATTTCAGCAGACACCAAATGAAAAACTTCGATGGGGCGGATCAGGCCTGCGGGCCGTAATTCGATCACCCCCTGCGTTAGAGTGACTTCGGGTCCATGAAAAAGTGATTCTAGCTTTTAATCGAGTACATTGCGAAGGAAATGCAAGAACAACTTAGTCATTGAATCTAACGCTTGTTACCTTCTTTCTGTTTCGTTGTTGAAGTAGAAATATTTCGTGTTACGAGTATTTCGTGCTTTATTTTAATTTTGTTAATTGGGGTTCCATAAAAATCGAAAAATTATATCAGGGGTTACACAATAACAAAAAGGTTTGAAGAGCACTGGTTTAGACAGGTCTCCCTATTGAAGCAAGAAAACAGCTTGTCAATATGCGATTTCTAAGAACCAGAAACATCTTACACTAATGAGATATTGCGACAACATACACAAATATCTTTGAATGGATCAAAAATCTTCCATGGGCATAACACCCAACAAACTACCACCTTATAAACATATCTTGACATAGTAATCTTATTCACCACGCCTTTTGCTTCAACAAGGCATCCTGAGAGCAGATACTGCTATCTAAAGACTACCAAATTTATGGTACTTCAGTAGTATTTACAACAAGATGGAGGACACTGGAACGTAGTATGTGTATCAGGTAAGGGTTGGGTCATAATTTCGGGTACAAACACGGTAGTCAATTGCCTAGTCCCCGAACTCCTAATTGGACTACAACAAGGAGAATTGGAATAAAATTATGGCCTAACCCTAACCTGGTACACATACTATGTTCAGATGTCCGCCATAGTTGCACATACTATGGTAGCGCCAAATTGATTAAACTTTGGGTGAAGTTGGGGGCATGGAAAAGCTTTAACCACCAGCGAAGAATTGAATTGGCAGCACATATAGGGCTATATAAAAACTATGCTTCGAAACATCAGTATATCAAACAGAGAAGCAATGGTTACGGTTGAGAACGTCTTGAAACACTGTCATTAAAACAGTTTCAATTAACATTGTCCAAAATAGGCCAACCTCTTGGTTAGGATATCAATGGCAATATGAAGATCTAATTTTCGACTGAACCGAACGAATGACTGTGGTTTGTCATATTATTAGACTGTCATCAGAGGAAATATGAAAATCTATCCTTTTCACACATATGATATATTGCAAGAACACACATATATTGCTTGAATGGATTAAAACATGATATATAAAGCACAAAGCCTGGCTTCGATTAGTTTCCCAGATGCCAGAGAACTATTCTCTCTAAAAATTCACATTAAATATAAACTATAGTCTCATAAAGTGATAAGATATCTAATAGAAGAGACGCAAGCAACGGCCGACAAAAGCACCCATGTATGAAATGAGGACTAAATCAAATAGTATACTAATATGGACAAAAATAATTCAGATTATGAATGCTTAACTGTGTTCTGAATTAAGGCTCTTTGATAAAAAAGAGACAAGTAGCCATTGACCGTCTCTCATGTCTTATACCAAATACGATACTGCAGGAGAGGGCTACTCGACTATTTTTACCGAAGATCCGCATACAAAACTTCAAAATTATTTGGGTCCGAAAGTTATATTTCGGCATCCTTAAACACGCACTTCTTCGACCGGCTAATGATTATTAGCTAATCAAAATTGCTTATTATGGTGTTAGTTATAGTTCTTTTCATATATATTCAAAACTATAAGTCATATTATGAAAGGAAACTTCAAAAGTGGGGCTTATAATCTAAAATAAAGAATTAGGTGCAGTCCGAATCAAATACTCGAAAGGTCCGGATTCGGACCGTGGTCCGCCAGTTGAGTAGCCCTGTTGTAGGATACCACAGACATTTAACATATCAATAGAAGAATTATTTTATGACCATATAGTTTGGAACCCATGCACTAGAAAATGAGTCAAATATTCCCTGCTTTAGCTTAGCTGTCAAATTTTAAATGATTAAATTAAAATTCTGAAAAAGGTAATTCCGAATGTATTTACATCCACCTGGCTATTTGGATCCATCTACATATGTGATAATGTGGGTTCATGTTCAATTTGAGCCATCACTGAGATGATGAAATAAATTTCAATGTTGAACTAGGGATAGGGGACAATTTTTTTTATATTTATCCCGGTGATTATGGATAGGATAGGATTTACATATAGGATAGGATTTACATATTTATCCCGGGGAGAGGAAAGCCGATAAGACGGCTTATCCACATGGCGAACCACGGCCTCTCGTCCGGTTACCATTCCAAGTCGGGTATGGGATTAGTTTTTACTGTATTGTTTGTTTTCGGAAGCATGGACTTGGTGGTGGAGGAAGCCGTAACCGACCAGCGGTTACGTGAACCACCCAACGACGGCGAGGAGTCCAGCAATCCTCTCGCACATAACCATCCCCGCATGGGATTCGAACCTGCGAACCCACGCAGAGTAATTAGAGGTGCGGTGGCGAGCGTATTTCTAACGCTTAGCCCGTTGAGCCACACCTCGCTGATTATAAAAGCTGATAAGGCAGTTTAGTCATTCAGGAATTCACCCTTTCTCACCTGTTAAAAAAGTTATTCAGTTGAAGTCAAAGGACTTGAAACATAGATCGTGATAGTGAGTAGCTAACGTCAAGGCCGCTATTACCGCCATCCCAGCAAACTCTGCCTACCCACTTTTTTAATGCACGGTATCTGAAAAACAAGATGACGCACACAGTTTCAACTAACACGAGCACATTCGTGATATTTAGCAAATTATTTTTGGTTTGATTTCGTACCAAAGGCGGTTGCCAGATTGAAATGACGCGGTCCGCAAAAATGGGGTGGTAGAAGAGTGTGCTCCACGCTCAGCCAAGTTTGGAGGGAAGCAGTCATCTGCCAAAGGGTTAGGACCTGACCGGGACCTTTGTTTATTGTTGCAGTTGTAGGCTTGTAGCAGAAGCATTTGGAGCGGTGAAGGTAGGAAAAATGCCGATAAAAGGCACAACAAAAAATATGAGGTGCCCAGGATAACTTTGAGTGATCGGGTGCACAAAAAGTTAACTTGAATGCCAGAGTTGGGCCTTCGACTAAAATAAGTGACGATACGAAAGCTCGCTGTGGTACATAGAATATCTGACCATATACGGATAATATATGGATATATACCCGTTTTAAAATATATTAACAATTCATGCTTGAAAATACTTTTTTTCAAAATATAAACTATTTGGGTTGGATCTCTACATTGCTTCTATACAATGTCTTTATACATAATTATAATATAGATTTGATTGAAAAAGCTTCAATGTAGGCCACCTAGCCTTCTACCACTAAGTCCGGGGTTAGGTCTTCTGAAGGCTGGTCTCCCATCTCCTCTATTATTAGGCATTGTATTATTTCTGTTACTTATCCTTATTATAAGATACAAAAGTCCAAGAAACATAAGTCCGGGGAGCCCAAATATCAACATCACAAGCAGGAACATTACAGTCATAAGCGGCTCGATAGTGTTGTTTCCAATATTCCAACGAGGAATTCCAATGTCTATTAGTTTTTGGTTCCAGGTGTCAAATAAAGTTGGGCCTTCTTGGTAGCGAGCTTGCCCTCCATGGTACGGCATTGCGTCGCCAGCACCTCCAGCGGATTGTTGTTCATCATAACCACTGTCCTGGGAGTTAATTGTACCCTGGCGAAAAAAATGAGAATTTAGAATTAACAAACGATGCGCTCCAGAAATGTATGTACCAATATGGAGGTAACTAATTTTGTTTGCCTACTTTACATCAAGTTGTGTAAAGGGACTGAAACCTATGGGCATGTGGTATATTCACTTGGCTAAGACAGACAGTCCTCGAACTCGTAATAGAACTAAAACAAGGAAAAACGGAATGAAATTATGGTCTAACCCAAGCCTGGTACACACAATACAGGAGTACCAAAATTTCTTTAGATGTGGTTTATTAATGTGCATTTTAGTCTGAACAAGGTAACGCACAAGCTTCTCTGATAGGTACGGTGTTATTTTATTTTGGAAGGGCCGGTTCAACACAGCCTATCCAATTTTTTTACACCATGGGTCAGGCGGTGACCGATGGGTATCAGATTTGAATCCGAAATTTTCACCTTATGCTATCATGAATACGCGTTCCACAATGGTTTTATTTTGGAAGAGCCGTAATATTTGCGGTTCAACACTGCCATTTTATCACAACTTGGGTGAGGTGGTGGCCTGGGTATGGGATTTCAACCCAAGATTTTACCTCACGATGCCATCATGAACAAGTCTAACGCTTTTAACCACTGTTTCATTTCAGAAGGCCCTAGTATTTTCAGTTCAACACTGTTTATCCAATTTATTACAACTTGGGTAAGGTGATGGCCTGGGTATGGGATTTGAACCCAAGATTTTACCTCACGATGCCATCATGAACAAGTCTAACGCTTTTAACCAATGTTTCATTTCGGTAGGCCCTAGTATTTTCAATTCAACACTGTTTATCCAATTTATTACAACTTGGGTAAGGTGATGGCCTGGGTATGAGATTTGAACCCAAGATTTTACCTCACGATGCCATCACGAACAAGTCTAACGCTTTTAACCACTGTTTCATTTCAGAAGGGCTGTAATATTTTCAATTCAACACTGCATTACACCTTGGGTAAGGGGGTTGGAATGGGTTTTGAACCCGAAATTTAAACCTTACGATGTCATCATAAATGAGTCTAACGTTTTCACCACTAGTCCACTGCTCTACAGCAAAAACTATGACAGGGTGTAAAATACACTTGAATGTCTCTCATTTTGACACGCATTCCGATCTAAGTATTGACTCAATTGACTGAAACAAACAATTAAAATATATAACATTCACTTGATGCCTCATTAAACATCGAACCCCTAACATTGGGCCTAAAAAATATATGAATATACTGAGTACCGGTAATACAAAATCTGAATCATCTTAACCTAGTAAGATAAGATTAGTCAAACATGAATACAGCAAGGTAAGTCTTCTCTTACCAATTCTGTTGTAATCAATACCCAAGATCAAACAGGGTTACAATCATTTGTTCTAGTTATTTCTACGGATGTGTAGTGCCGACATGTTTTTTGTCCTTACTCAAAAAGCCTCAGAATTGATTAGGCAACCTAAAACTGCAATTTTAGGGATAAAAAGATACCCATACTATTAAATAGTGTAAAACAGGGGTGTGCAACATGGGGGGCCAAATGCGGTCCACAATAAAAAATTGTCAGCTTGCGGAAAAGTGTCAATTTTGAATGGTGTGCTCACACGAAACAACTTTTAAATTACCATAAGTTTAATCTGGTAAGTGTGAGTAATTCCAATCCCTTTGTATTGCAAAGCCTATACCTGTCACTGTCATATTAGCAAAACGCTAGCAAAATACACAAACATGCTTCTTACTGAATTTGTTCAAAGTTGGTGAGACAATTAATTTGAATAGCAGTTTAATTCAGAAAGTTGTGCGTTTTCACCGATCATTTCTGCAAGGACCCCCCATGATGCCTTGAAATCAATAACAAAAAGAAACTATTATTACTTATCGATCTTAAGATCGGTAAGTATATTGATAGGTATTTGTATGTATGTCTGTCTGTCTGTGTGTGTGTGTTTGTTAGATGAACGCGATATCTCACGAACGCGTGGTTGAATCTGCTCCAAATTTTGCATGTGCATGCACCTTACCTCGGACCAGACGCCTATCGATTTTGGGTTAATTATGTCGTATAATTAGCGAGTTATTAACTAATTACCGATGTAAGATCGATAAGTCTTCGGTCTCCGACCGATATTCTCGTTTATGCCTGCAAGGCTGCAACTACTAGAAAGCCTAGGTATGTTGAATAAAGGTGCGACCCGCGGTTTTACTCAGTTATTTGTATCTGGCCCTCTTGTATTAATGGTTACACACCCCTGATGTGAATTCCAGCAATCCATTGACTTTTAAAATGCCTGGTTAAGTACTGTACACTGGTACCGTACATGTTTTGGCTCACAGTTCAAATGTGATTTATTTTGATAAAAAATAATCAAGTCAGTCATATATATAAGGGGAATTAATAGGAATTTTACTTTGAATATATTAGGATTTTCTCAGGCTTTTTAATTAAAAATGAAGGGGCCCGTGGCCCAAAATATTTGAGAAACCAGGAAACCCTGTCCTAGATCACTTAACAGCTTTAAATATGAATATCCGCAGTATACACTGGGTACAGTATATAATTAACGTTACATCAAAGTTACCAAAACTTTAAATGAGGTTTAAAAACATAAATGAGACATAAATGGGGTCTCATGTAGTTTCGTACCTAACATAGGTACTTCTAGTGGGCGTAGCATAACAATTTTTTGCCATGTCCATCCTAACCCCCATCTGACTACGCCGTCCAAAAATTATCCAAAATCTCGCCATAGACTGTTAGAGCTTACCAAATATACGCAGGATCGCCCGAAATGGCATCGGCGCCGACGATAAGGAACTGGCTAACGCAGGGTTTCCCAAACTAGGGTCCGCAGACCCCCAGGGGTTCGTGACAACTGACGATATGAAAAGTCTGTTTGATATTTAATGATTGATTTCATTTAAAGAGAAATTGCATATTATTGGTTAAGATTGCGGACGAATATCTATTGCTGTCAGAAAAGTCAATTAAAATCTTTTTGCAACGACCTACATTCGTGATGCAGCATTTTCACTCTTATAAATATGATGACAAAATACAGGTCGAGACTTGCCACCCGGTCTATACGGTAGGTTTGCTTGTCACAAATTGCTCCGAGAATGGAAAAATTGTGCAGTGGAAAGCAAAGTAGGGTGGCTTACCCGCTTTGCGGCCACGACCTATTTGCGGCCATCAACTTCATTCATCTAATTATTGTCGAAAAAATTAGCAAACCGCAACAATATTTCTCACGGGTGATCGTCCTCTTGTCCCTCACAGCTCTGCGAAATTACACTAAAATGCGGCCACAAACAAAAAAGTACTGTGTTGTGGATGAAACATTATCTTTACTCGTTGGTAAGGATAAGGTAAAATTGATACGGCTAAGCGTGGCGGTCCGTCAAAATCAGGATTCTCAAATAGGGGTCTGCGGCCCAAAAAGTTTGAGAAACTCTGGGCTAATGTCATCGATCTCTCTCATATCGGGATCGTCACGGCGAGAAAACGAGAGAAATAGCTGTTCGATTTCGGGTGCTCGTCTTAGATGACAGTTCGTATAGTTTGAATGACCCTATTATGTCACTTAGGATAGGATAGGATTTACATATTTATCCTGGGGGAGAGGAAAGCCGATAAGACGGCTTATCCATATGGCGAACCACGGCCTCTCGTCCGGTTACCATTCCAAGTCGGGTATGGGATTAGTTTTACTGTATTGTTTGTTTTCGGAAGCATGGACTTGGTGGTGGAGGAAGCCGTAACCGACCAGCGGTTACGTGAACCACCCAACGACCAGACTGGATTCCATGGCAGGTGCACGCCCGAGGGCACTAGCACTCCGCAAAAATGCACGCGAGCGAATTAAATTTTGCACGCCGGAAATTTGCAATTGCTCACCTATGTAAATCGGTTTAAATGGTTTTAAAATCAATAATCGAGTAATATAAAGATGTCAAAATATTATAACTCCACAATTGTCGACTAATACTAGCTTGCAAGATTTGGTCTGATCGAAAATGGCGAAGCAAAAAAGACGATATCGTGTTGAATGATAGGAATCCCGTGAGAATAGTTATGGACGAAAAGATCGCCTCCGCAGCAACGCTGGCCAGGTACGGCTCTGATTCAGCGTCTTTTGCATACAATAATTTTACACAAAAGTACTGAACAGTACCGATATCTAAAGTCGCACAAACACTCTCAAAATTAGTGACGAGGTTAAAAATATTGTTTGGGGTCAAAGGTCAAACGTCCATTTTGCTGTAATTTAACGTGTTTTTTATCCATTTATTCTACGTAAAAACACTCCCAAAATTAATGACAAAGTATGTCCATTTTGCTCTGGTTCAACGTATTTTTTATCCAATAATTTTACGCGGATGTACTGAACAGTACTGGTATACAAAGTCGCACAAACACTCTCAAAATTGGCTACAAACTGTAGAAATAATGTTTGGGGTCAAAGGTCAAACGTCCATTTTTGCCCTGATTCAGCCCTTTTTTTATCGATACCGGTAATTTTACGCGGATGTATTGTGAGGTATCTAATGTCAAAGTCAGTTGCGCGCGAGCGAAGTGGTTTTGCACGCCGTGAGCTATAATTGCACGCCAGGAATTCTTATTTGCACGCGGGAATTTCTGATTGCACGCCCGATTTCTCGTTCAAAAAGGCCATGAAATCCAGACTGGCCCAACGACGGCGAGGAGTCCAGCAATCCTCTCGCACATAACCATCCCTGCATGGGATTCGAACCTGCGAACCCACGCAGAGTAATTAGAAGTGCGGTGGCGAGCGTAGTCCTAACGCTTAGCCCGTTGAGCCACACCGCCGCGCCTGCACTTTATGTTGTAGTGACGTAATTTTTGGATGGTGTAGTCTGGTTGAGGTTAGGATTGACACGTAAAAAAATTGTTATGCTATGCCCACTAGAAGTAAGTTAGGTACAAAATTGCACAAGACCCCATAAATGTATGGGGGATCTAACACTCCAGCATTCAGACTTTGTAGTCTAACAGGACAGAAACAACAAAAAACGACAGGACAAAACAGAACATTTGAACTAAATGTGAACTTACATATCTGGTGCCGGTGTTTGTCCTCTGTTGCAGACGTGGATCATCGTCTTGAACGACATCGCCGTTTGCTAATATTCGAACCATATCGTAAAAGATCGAACTTTTCGTTAGTCAAAACGACCGATAATTGAGAACAAAAAATTCCAAAACCAGGGAGAAAATCTCAACTCGTAAATATTATTTTTTTAGTTCCCGCACGCAAAATATTGTTCCCAAAACATAAAAATTATTCATATTTCTGTAAATATTTCAACGAATGTAAGACTTTTGAAAACGGATACAACGCAATCTTTTGCATTAACATAAGTAACTTATTGCCGTGAAAAAGTTATGAATGCTATTTCAACATATCCAATCATAAAAAAAACAAACAGCTTATAATTCTAATCCTATGCGGACAAATAAAAATATAAATGGGAACACTAAAATTTTCACGTTACTAGCGCCAACTTACGGAATTAAATACATTCAATAGAGTGACATACTGTGGCAGGGGTTCTCAAACTTTTGGTGCTGCGGAGCCCGTGAAGATATTGACTATTATTCACGGAGCCCCACAATAAATTTTAAAAATAGAACAAACAAAAAAAGACATAGTTACATACCGATTAATGTTCCCGAGTAAGGTAAAATTACTTTACTTAATTTAAATGATAACGTGCGCGATTGCATTTTGATAAAATCTCCGATCGTCAGCGTGGCGTTGTAGGGATTATTATTAGTTAATTAGACCATATTTTTAATAGTAAGAAAAAAAGTAATTCCACTTAGGACAAGATTTCGTCTGAATTTGAAAAAGGTAGAAAAAATGAAATTTACGTTAAATACTTAATTGGCTTTCATAGGAATAACCCTTCAGTTAAAAACACGTTATCTTGCCCTTGAGCAAGACAAACTAGTACAAGCCAGTTTTTAATCACTCGACCACTTATAGCTAACTATTTAATTGGCTACAGACATCCTTCTAAATCGTTTTACAAGAATTGCCGAGACTTAATTACGGCATTCTTACTTTATTTATTATAAACGATATCCACGTAAAAGCCAAACCCTAAAGGCATAACGGGCGTCTCGACTATTGTATATAAACGGACAATAATTCTTTAAAAGTAACTGACTGGTTTTGATCTTGATCTATATTCTGCTCTGTGTTGTCATACAAGAATTATAAGGTTGGTGACTTTGTATTATATTCGTTGTCTGCTGGGTTAAGCTCTGCCCTAACAGAAACAGAGAGAATCGTGTGCTGGGTTAACAAATATTAACCGGTTCCTATAAATTTGGTGCCCTGAACAACTGAATGCAACCTTCTTGAGAGGAACAGATCAACGGAGGAACACAACCAGCAACGACGACAAATCAATGCACGGAATCTCAAAAAAATAGAGGAACACAAGATAAGTTCACGTTAATATTATATCCTATAAGTCGCATATACGGGTCCATGCTAATCTAATAGATCTCCTATCTTTCAACAGTTAACGACATTTTACGATTATCGACGAAAAAACAACTCTACGACATCGACACGAGGATCCGGATCAGCGACTATTGACGCGAAGAAGACGAAATCGCCTAAGGATATTTCTACGGACATTCTGTATTTCATTCAATTTACTGCATATTAATTTTGGTATGTACTGCAATTTTCTTTCCTCTTTCTTTTGTTATAATCCGTATTCCCATGAGAGCTAGTGTCTTCCCATTTGATTTATTTAAAAAGGCCAAATCTAATTTAGCTCCAACCGATAATAAGAGTAGTACATTATCTAAGCCAGAAGACGTATTAAAACCCCCCTTAATTATTAAATCTCAGTTGCCCGATAATAATATGCAGTCAACTAAGCAGTCGCCTAAACCGTCGTCTAGTCAAAATTATGATCTATTCGAACCTATACCTTCGTCGTCGTCAAATAGGAAACCGTTATCACATTTTAGATATAATGATCGTGATAATATTAAAATCCCGCAATTTTGGGTTCACTCTCCCCTTTTATGGATTCGATGTGTCGAATCTGCTTTTTCTAGAGCTGATATTACATCAGAAACAAGAATGTTTGATGAAGTATTAGCTGTTCTTGATAGTTCATAATTGAAAAAATAGGGGCGGATTTGCTAGACATAAGCGCTACAAATCCGTATACGGAACTTAGAGAAGCCCTAGTAAAAAATTATGCACCGACGGAAGACCAAATGATTTCGTCATTTCTCAACTCAGGGGATTTAGGTGACCAATTGCCGTCAGATTTGCTAAAAAAATTAAAATTACTTATAAATCCAGATCATAGAGGGGACCCTTTTGCTCGTGCTTTTACTGAAAAAATTATTTTTGGAAAAATTGCCTAAGCAATGCAGTCAATTCTAGTTGCGTCGGACGATGATAGTTTAGAAGAGTTAGCAGAGAAGGCCGATAAGATTTATAGAAATTCTAATAATTCACCTGATTCAAGTTATATTAAAAGTCAGACCCAAAATAAGTTTGATGGAAGCTAAAATTAATACGTTAACTGATAGTGTTAATGCCTTAACTAAATCAGTTGCAAAATCAAACTTTAACTTCAAATAATACTGATATTAGAACTAAGTTTTATCCGAGGTATCCGAGATATAATACTAATTGGCAGCCCAGGGGACGTTTTCAATCGAACTTTAGACAGCCCTTTAATAACCATAGATTCTCAGCTCCAAATAGATTTCAAAATTCACCTAGGAACGGTAATTTCAATCACCGTTATTCCAACCCAAACACTTCATCTCCTAGCGGATGGTGTTTCTATCATTCGACTTTTGGTCGAATGCTTTTAAATGCGAGCCTGGTTGTACTTTTCAGGGAAAAGACAATGCCACTCGGTCTCGACGCTAACTAAGCGTGGCACATCTCACTCTAATAAGCGTCAATTATTTTTATACGATCCCGATTCCAATAATAAGTTTTAATAGATTCGGGAGCTGAAATTAGTATTTTGCCATCAAGTAAATATGCCGTTCATAGGAAATGTCATAAAACTTTACAAGCAATTAATGGTACTTCAATATCTACCTTTGGTAAATTACGTTTAAATTTAACTTTTAACCACGATGTACTTTTACCGTGGTCATTTACGATAGCTGATTGCCCATACCAATTATAGGAAATGATTTTTTAACCCATTATGGACTTCTAATTGATTTTAAAATAAGGTTGTAATAGACCCACTTCTCAAAACATTATAAGAACAACTACTGGTAATTTAAATTCTGTTTCCGCGTACTCATCACCTAAGAATAATAATGATGATGAATATGAAGCCTTATTAAATAAATTCCACAGATATTGATAGAAGACTATAAGTCACCGAAGCGTAAACATAATGTTAGTCACAGAATAGTAACAACCGGATTCCAGTTCATGCGAAACCGCGACGTCTAGCGCCATTAAAGCAGCCGCCGTTAAAGCCCAAATTAATAAAATGTTAAACCAGGGAGTTGTATCGCCCTCTAGTGGAGAGTGGTCATCACCCATCACAGTAGTCCTTAAGAAAAATGGGAATATAAATAACCCAGACCATTATAGGATATGCGGGGATTTTAGATTACTCAACCTACAGACAAAGAAGGATACTTATCCTATACCCATATTCAATCTTTTACCAATGAAGTTAGGGGGTGTACTGTTTTTTTCAAAAATTGACTTAAAATTCGGCTTATTTTCAAATTCCGTTACACCCGGATAGTCGTGAAAAATCTGCGATACTACGGGATTAAACAAGGTTAAATGGAACGTCATGCCCTTCGGCCTTAGCAACAGTCAGGCTAGCTTCCAGCGGGTTAATAGATGATGTTACTAGGCAATTAAACTAATGTATTTGCATATGTTGATGACATTCTTGTATATAGTAAAACTGTAGACGAGCATAAGCAACATTTGCATAAAATTATTTGAAACTTTAATGAATATGGCCTAGTAATTAACAGAGAAAAGAGTTCATTTGGAGTTGATAAGCTAATCTTTTTGGGTTTTTTTAGTTGATAAGGAGGGTATTAAACCAATGAATCTAAAGTTAAAGCGTTAAGAGAATTTCCCTTACCTCAGACAAAACGGCAGTTACGATCGTATTTAGGCGCCTTCACGTATTATCAACGGTTTTTACCCAATTGTGCTTGTATTTTAGCTCCTTTACATAAACTAGCAGCCAATTATGTTTCTAAAAATCAGCCTGTAATATGGACAGCCGACACTAAATTAGCTTTTGAAAAGTCCAAAATGCTCTGAGTGATTTTATTATGCTTAATCACCCGAAACCGGATGCAGAACTTTCCATAGCCGTCGACGCAAGTCTAACTGGTGTTGGCGCTATCTTACAACAAAAGATAGGAGAGCACTGGGAACCTCTCTCAGTTTTCAGCAAAGCTCTCAATACTGCCCAGCAAAAATATTCTACATTTGATCGAGAACTTCTAGCAGTTTTTCTGAGTATTCGTCACTTTCGCTACTATGTTCAAGGTCGGGAATTCTTTATTCTTTCCGATCACAAACCTCTTTCTTTTGCTCTGCACAAAACATGGAGAGAACTTCACCTCGGCAAAGCAGACATCTAGATTTCATCAGTCAATTCACTTCTGATATCAGATATATACCTGGTTCTGCAAATATCGTAGCTGATGCTCTATCCAGATCAACAATTGCAGCGATTTCCGATCTTTCTCCTTCTCTTTCTCTTACTTCTATCGCTCAAGAGCAAAACACGGACCCAGAAATACAGGCATTGTTAAATAATCCCATGAGTTTACAATTAGACTTTGTTGATACCTCAGTTCCAGGCTTAACTTTAATTTGTGATTCTAAATTACCCAATAAGAGACCAGTTGTACCTAAGAAATTTAGGCAAAAAATTTTTGACACTTTGCATAATCTTAGCCACCCTGGACTTAGAGCTACTCAACATTTAATTCAAGCTAGGTATGCATGGCCAAATATGAATTCAGATATTAGGAAAATGTGTCGAGCTTGTATCCCATGCCAGAAATCTAAAATAACTAGACATACTATTTCACCCTTACAACCTATTTTAGCTCCCAATAAAAGATTTTCAGAAGTAAATACTGATATAATTGGACCTTTGCCAGTTTCGAACGGTTATTCTTATTTATTAATTACGGTTGATAAATTTACCCGTTGGGCCGAAGTAACGCCAATGCGAGATATAACTGCCGAAACTGTCGTTAAAACTTTTCTTTTATCATGGGTAAGTAGATTTGGATCTCCAACGGTAATAACTACTGACCGGGGTGCTCAATTTAGAAGTTCTTTGTGGGACAAAATGATAAAATTTTTAGGAAGTCAGCATATATGTACTACAAGTTATCACCCTTGTAGTAATGCAACTGCTGAGCGACCCATTAGACAAATTAAAGCTTCACTTATGGCACAATGTTCAAACAACCATGAGTGGTATCAAAATTTAAGTTTAGTTTTGTTAGGGATACGTACTGCAATAAAATTAGATTTAAGTTTATCCTCGGCGGAATTAGTATACGGATCATCCTTACGTTTACCTGGGGATTTTTTTTCAAACAATATAAACCTGGACTTAGAATCACCTAATGAATTTATAGCGCGTCTTAGACAATTCGTCCAAGACTTAAAACCAACAAACCCAAGAATACCAGAAAATAGAAAAACCTTCATATTTAAAGAATTAAAAGATTGCACACATGTATTTTTACGTGTTGATGCAGTTAAAAAACCTTTGATACCGCCTTATATTGGTCCATTCCAAGTGTTAGAAAAACATGCAAAGTACTATAAAATAGATATTAATGGTAATCCTCAAACTGTTAGTATAGATAGAATAAAACCGGCGCATATCGAAACAGAACTAGAAATACCAACTGAGCCGAATACTGAAACAGCGTTATTGTTTTTAAACAGGCCTGAACCGCCAACAACAACGCGTTCCGGCAGAACGACACGCCACAACCGCCAGCATGATTACGCTTATTATTAGTTTTCTCGTAAATGTATGTATATATTCTTATGCTTTTCCTCTTAACTCTCCTAGCCCAACAGTGTCAGTGAATTTTTGTGATCCAAAAGTACCCGTAGCAGAATATGCCATACCGGAACCACCAAATTGTAAACGAAATACTATCACCCGCGTAGATTATTGCGATGCCACGGTACATAAATTATCTTCAGCATACACTAATATTACAGTGTATGTCTGCCAAAAATCTGTCACAGAATGGCAGGCAACTAGATTCTTTTTTGGTTCGATTTATGACAAATCTAAATCTTATATGGCCGATCCTCCAACTTCTTTATATTGTCAAGATTGGGTTCATTCTCTCAAAGCTGAAAATATTGGTGATTTGAAAGTAACCTCAGAAAATACTTGGTCTACTGATAATGAAGTAAAATACGAATATAATTGGCCAACAACCACAACTGGGAAAATTTTTAATGCACATTTGGCTCTTACAACAATTTATTATGACCATATAAAAGGTATTCTTTTAGGCCCATTTTCAGGATTATCCACTTGCAGTATTACTTCCGGATCTTGTACTGTAGGTACTCAAACAATTATTTGGAAAAATTACCCATTAATAGATTGTCCCCCTTTTAAAAATTTCAATTCGAAAATGGCATTGCATTATAATGCGTCGGGTGACATTTACCGATTAGACTTTCCGGAATTGGGAGCCAGCATCCACCAATGGGGTTCATGTGGTGCTTATGTTCAAAGATGTTTTAATACAAAAACATTTTGTACAAATAATGCACTTTTATTTGAAACTCACAAATGTTCTTCATTGAAAGCTGCTGGTTTCATCAATTCTAAATACCCAAAACTAAGGTATATTCCGTAGTGGTAGATTCTGTTTCTAGCACTCTGACTGGCTTTATTCAGGAAAATACTGACAGGGTAACCGAGGTAATTGTTAATATATCATCAGACATCAATTACCTCGAGTGTCAACTGGAAAGTATTCTAACCCGAATATACAAAACTCTAAGTAAACAATATCCAGGTCAAATTTTAAATGAAGTGTTAGGAGGCAAACATGCTGCTATAACGGTAGGGGATATCCTCACAGAAATACACTGTGAGCAAATAAACGTTACTATATTACGATCACTATACTATAATAATACTTATGCAACAAGGCCACTTGTAACGTTTCTCAACAAAAATAATGTTACCATAGTTGCGCAGATATTTACAGATACGAATGTCTACGCAGGTATACATTTTTTTGAAAACTTCGTCTCCGGACGAACGTTTACTTTTGCAATCAATGGGCGATACTATACGTATATCAATTACACGCTAACTCATACAAATGCCCACATACAATCTCTAAGGCCTTCTTTAACCAAAATCAACGAAACCTTTAAACCAATGGAATATCAAAAGATATTCCAAGATATGCCCCACGGAGGACACTCAGGCTTCGAAGATCTCAATAATATTCTAATTTCGATCAATCACCTGAACTTGATCAAAGAAAAGATATTATTGGATCACAAGTCGTCCTCCGAAACAAATACAAACAACCAATTTACTACAACTAAAAACAAAGTTGAAGACAACTTTGTAAACGCTTTATCATTTATCAGTCATCCAATTTTGTCGGCTTTCTACATGCTAGCATGGCATTTAGGAATGTTTTGGGGTATTGTATTGACCATACTCGTCATAAAGCGTATGATACCAATGCTCAAAACCTCGTCAACGCCTGTATATAACAGAGCTAGACAATTTTGGATGAATTTTAGAAACCCCGCTCAGGAACTTAATCCTGTAGAACCTTTGCCAAACGTAAATAGAACAAATAGAGAAGACACTGAGACTGCTGTACCTATACATGCCCCCCATACTTCCAATAACCTACCCAATCTATACCCCAATCTTCCTTCTTGAAATTTTCACCTCTCTTGGTGACATGTTTTTCTTATTTACATTGTATTGTATCACATATTTTGTTTGGTGAATATACACTTGAATAAATATTTAAAAAAAAAAAAAAAAAAAAAAAAAAAAAAAAAAAAAAAAAAAAAAAAGTATATATTGGTTTATTGATATCATTTTATTATGTTTTTCGTTATTCAAATTTAAATTAATATTTCATCATCAGGGATAACTTTAAATCACTCAATTTATGACGTTATAATTTCAATTTTACGATATATTTTCAATTTCACTTACAATTTTATGTTTTTCTCTTTGTTATTTTTTAGAAATCTGTACAATTTTTGACACGTTTGTTATGCCGAAACCCCGAACTCCGTTCTTTAGGGCCGAATTATTATGTAGGGATTATTATTAGTTAATTAGACCATATTTTTAATAGTAAGAAAAAAAGTAATTCCACTTAGGACAAGATTTCGTCTGAATTTGAAAAAGGTAGAAAAAATGAAATTTACGTTAAATACTTAATTGGCTTTCATAGGAATAACCCTTCAGTTAAAAACACGTTATCTTGCCCTTGAGCAAGACAAACTAGTACAAGCCAGTTTTTAATCACTCGACCACTTATAGCTAACTATTCAATTGGCTACAGACATCCTTCTAAATCGTTTTACAAGAATTGCCGAGACTTAATTACGGCATTCTTACTTTATTTATTATAAACGATATCCACGTAAAAGCCAAACCCTAAAGGCATAACGGGCGTCTCGACTATTGTATATAAACGGACAATAATTCTTTAAAAGTAACTGACTGGTTTTGATCTTGATCTATATTCTGCTCTGTGTTGTCAATACAAGAATTATAAGGTTGGTGACTTTGTATTATATTCGTTGTCTGCTGGGTTAAGCTCTGCCCTAACAGAAACAGAGAGAATCGTGTGCTGGGTTAACAAATATTAACCGGTTCCTATAGCGTGTTTTTAGACCGTCAACATCTTTACGTCGGTGTTTATTCTGCCTAAATCAAAAATTTTCCTCGGCAGATGCATGTATTGTTTCACGAGGACGACGATATTACTTTTCTGTCCTCGTGCGGAATTTCGAATTCAATGTAAAATACAAGACGGTATATTATAATCATAAGCGGAGAGATGCTAAAAATATTTAATAAAGATCTGAATCCGCAACCCAAATTTATTGAAAGGCGGCATTATAAAATAACAAAACCTAAAACGAAAGATAACACCGCGAGTTTTGTATTAGCAGACTCGCGACAGATTAAAAACGCTTTTTTAGACTTTGTAAATCACAAAATTTGATGTTATGTTAGGTTTTTGGCGCGGCGGAGTGGCTCAACGGGCTAAGCGTTAGGAATACGCTCGCCACCGCACCTCTAATTACTCTGCGTGGGTTCGCAGGTTCGAATCCCATGCAGGGATAGTTATGTGCGAGAGGATTGCTGGACTCCTCGCCGTCGTTTGGTGGTTCACGTAACCGCTGGTCGGTTACGGCTTCCTCCACCACCAAGTCCATGCTTCCGAAAACAACGATACAGTAAAACTAATCCCATACCCGACTTGGAATGGTAACCGGACGAGAGGCCGTGGTTCGCCATATGGATAAGCCGTCTTATCGGCTTTCCTCTCCCCGGGATAAATATGTAAAATCCTATCCTATCCTTTTCTTCGGGAATTGGATTTTGGGATTTTTCAAACGGAGTCGGTGTTGCGAGAGCGGATCAAATTTGTCGAATTCGTTAAATTGCTGTAATCAGTCACACTGACAAACAATCAGTCATGATTATAGTTTAATCGGGACGGGCACAAATGTCTTAATCTAACTACCGGCAGCGGTAGTACGTATTCTCTATTGTACGCATTGCTTATATTGATGACAGCGTTGTCCAGGATATACGGTAGTCCACGAGAGCTTCATTTACTAGACTTTGTTTCATTGTTCCTCATTTCATTTCCGTGGAGAGCCATGGTAATTTTGAGTAGTAGCCTAATGATTTCGTATTGTTGTAAGTCGACGCAGGTTACATTGAACACAATTAAGCTAATAAAAAGGCATTGAGTGCTGAAAAAACAATTCAAATTTTGACGAATCTCAAGATCGCAGAAATACGATTACAATTGATTTGAAGTTGGCAGTCCAGCACGAATTTAATGTTATTTGAAAATAGTAATCTTTCATATTAGTAATTTCGACTCAAAGGCGAGTAACGATGGACAGTTCAATTATTATGACACGACATTTTAAATACTTGCCATGGATTGAATATTTTATGCAACAGAATACTTGTTATCCAGTGTAAAATTATTTTTTAACGATTTAACGAGTGGCCTAATCGCGAAGAATGTTGCGCGGGAATTTTCGATTTCAATTTTGAACCCCCTCTCCCTTCTGCGCTGACTGACTACGCTTCTGCTTATATATAATGCCATATTCGAATTACCGCCTCGTTTCCATATTTCGACGCTACTATTGTCAAATTTTATTATTTTCTTTGGACAGTCATAAGATTAGCCGAATTAGTATTTTGGTAAGTAATCGAATAGCTCGTGGAGCCTCTAGTTTTTTTTTCTCACGGAGCCCTGGTGCTCCGTACGGAGCACTTTGAGAACCTATGTACTATGGCGTCGTACAAGTCGACACGTGTATCTGCAAACGATGTAGGAATACCACGTTTATTGCACATAAATTAGTAACTGCTTGCAAAGATCCACAAAGCCAAAATCTGAAAATGCCAAAATTTTACATTGCGTCACCAAATATTATATTTTCATATGACGTTTTTACATGTTTTTTTAACCCGGCCCATGCAGGAGCGGCCTAGGGGTGGGCCAAAGTCAATCAATCTATCAATCTATTCAATCAATTTTATTTCGGTCGCTCTGGTATAAAACAAAACAACAACAAACGAATAAACACAAAAGTGATAAAACGCAGAGGACCTGGAGGACGGGCATAACTTGAAGACAAAGTTAAAAACGTGAAAATACGCTCCCGTCCTCCAAAAACAGTCAAATAACACAATAAAAAATAAAAATACACGATACAGAATCGGGCAATAACTTCAAATAAATTGATTCAATTATGCAAACACTGATCAGAGGAAGAACAGGGCAGCAGCAGCCGCCCTGGGAAGTACGTTTTATGGGTGAGTTTGTTGCTTAGTTCCATTCTTTGTTTAATTAATAATAATACAAACATTCCACTCTTACTTAACCTTCAATTTTTTATTCTCATGTATAACAACATAATAACTTGTTTTTCTTGAAGTTAGGTATAAGGGGCATCATTATTAAAACTCGTTTTGGGCAGCAGAAAAGTTTGGCACGCTTCTGGGCCGATGAAACACTCATCCTTCAAACATTAGTTAATAAAGTTACCGGGCTGAAAACATCACAATTCACATAAACATATCGTTTGTTGCTTGCGTGTCCAAAGCATATAGCAGGAATTTATTTAATTCGTCTTTTAGATGTGTCCGTGGATTATAAAAAAAATAGCAAAAACCTTGAAATAACTTTAATATGTTTTTGTTGTTCTTGTTGGTATTTTTCTTCTTATCGTTACGATAAAAATCCCTTTCCTCGTTAACTCCTCGACTAATTGCTCCAAAATTTTCAGTGGTTAAATATTGTATTTTTCTATAAGGTATTCCTAATTTTATTTATTTCTTTAGACTTTGTGGGATCTGTTTTTATGCGCGATGTCGTCATCATAAATTGCGCACTGTGTGGCGGTTCCGCGACAGCGTTAGTCGTGAACTCTGCTGTACCGGTAGTGAATGCCGTACTACTTCGTTTTGGCTTTCGTGTCCATATGTTTAAGCATCGCTCTCTTGTTTCACAATTCCATCAATGCCTATTTGTTAAAAAATAACCCGAACCGCAGATTGAACATCTCAGCTTCACATTCACCTCACCCTGGGTGTAATAGACTGAAAAACCCATTGTCCTAAACTTTAGGACCTAAAGATTGGTTTCCCCTTCTAAACGTAAGTAAACCCCACCTTAGAAGCCATGCTAAATTGCTAACCCTGATCGTCTAATAACACACATGGTTTTGTTTGAGAGAATAATACTACGTCACTTGGAGAACAAAAAAATGAAGAAGTAAATACAAAAATCAGGAATTCTGTTGATATTTCAAAGTAAATGCTACTCAGTTAACATACATCATGAATTAGAGTCATCAGTCAGCTTTAATAACTTGATGCGTAAAATGAAATATTTGAAGCTACGGTGCAGACGCTAAAGTTGACATGAAACAGGTTAATAATAAAAACATATTTTACGATGTGTGATGAATTATTTTTAGGCGTAAGATTGAAATAGCGCATGATTGCCACCAGGTATATTCATGTCGAAGATAAATGAAGCACAACCGGTGTATAGCAAAACGATATAATTTGCCGACGTTTCGTATTTTCCATTCAGAAAAACTTCATCATGGCATGATATGGAAAGCGCACCATCGTATATATATGGAGCGGAAAAAAGAAAAAAAATTCGGATTTTTTACGCCATGATAAATTTTTCAGATCTTTTACGCCATGATAATTTTTCTTTTCTCTATTTTCTATATATATGATAGTGTACTTTTCATATCATGCCCTGGTGAAGTTTTTTCTGAATAGAATTTCGAAACGTCGGCAAATATATCATTTTGCTATACACCGGCTGTGCTTTATCTATCTTCGTAAAATTAGTCGTAAGTTAGCCGCAAACCCGACTTGTAAAGCCACATTGTCTCTGATCGAGTAAGGAAGGCTATGTCGGTGTAGATGGAATTATAAATATGAGTTTTTATTTGCTTGTGGTTCCCGTATCATCGTGGGGGCATCGGAGCTGTTGGTTGTGGAGTCGTTGAGGGATTCTGAACAGTGGAGGTTGTTGTCGTACCGACTGGTAGGAGCGGTGTGTTTTCTGATGTTGTAGCGGTCGCCTCTGCGTAGGGCGGCGGTAAATCCTGAAAAATTGATAGTACATTCATTGGTTTCAAAAAATAGTAAAAAAGGGGCTCCCGAAGTATGCGAACCAAGATGGCGGACATCGGAATGTAATATGTGTACTAGGTTAGGGTTAGACCATAATTTTAGGTATAAATACTACGGGAGGCTCTTGGCTAGTCTTCGAACTGATAATAGGACTAAAATAAGGAAAATTGGAAAAAAAATATCGCCTAACTCTAACCTGATACCCATGTTACGTTCCGATGTCCGCCATCTTGGTTCGCATACTTCGGGAGCACCGTAAAAAAGTATTGTTGGGCCTCGTGAAGTATTGTACCACAATAACTTCAGGTGGGCGTGGCATAACATGGGCGTTTTGAATGAACATTCGTATATTTTAACGGGGATGATTACGTCACTATGGCATCGTAGTGACGTAATTTTTAAATGGCGTAGTCAAGTTGTGATTAGGAATGCCATTTTCATGAATCAATCCTACTTGAAGTACTTTTGCCTAATAAACTACATCAAGTAGAATCGAAATGGTGTCTCTTCGTGACTTTCAATCCTAACCGCGCCCAGTAAGCAGTCATTAATGTAACTACTCTAATGTTTACTGTATGAAAAATATTGTGTTTTCTGGTGTTGTAGCAGTGAGTCCTAAATATTGATTGTACATTCAGGGATTGTTATAAAAAGGGCAAACGTTCAGGTACTGCTGCTACACTTTAACTTGAGATATATATCAAGCTAGTACTAAAGCGGGAGATCTATTTCCATATGTCGCATACCCAGGCGTCGGCTTAAACTAAAATGTTAAATATTCTATTTAAGTCAAGTGCAAATAAGATGATTATTGTTAAGTTAAACGTATTGAAATTGAAAGATTTTCATTAAGGATGAAAATGCACCGGTAGACATCAAGCGGATCTCCTGCAGTATGCGAATCAAGATGGCGCACAACATGAACTCAAGGTTCAGGTCATGCGACATCTTGGTGGGCATATTTCAGGAGTACCCATTTCCCACCAAGCTATAGTATTAGCGTGTTCATTTTTCGCTACTGTGCTCTGACAGTAAAATATGACACTAAGCGCTAGATCTTAGCATCTATACAACCACTACTTACCGGATACGTGTCTGTTCCACCGCTCGGACCCGCAGACCCCACTGGTACCGTACTCGTTGTTGGATAATAAGGCGGAAGCATAACCGCACGGTCTCGATATTCCTGAAAAAAAATGAAAAACAATTTAAAATTAAATATGTGGTCTTTGAGTGGTAACCGGGTTGGCTTTCCATAGACAGAGCCTGACTAGTCCGGCAACATTAACCCTTAAGCCAGTCAGAAACGCCAGAGCAAGTTATCACTTTGTATCGAGGCACAAGTTGGCTGCCATTTTTTCGTAATTTATCACCAATCTGCGCAGTATGTCATGTTGGAAACTTAGGACTTGTCCGAGTCACTTCCAATTTTGTACGAGTACGCAATGTCCTATGATAGAAGTCTGACGTCGTAAGTATTATTTCATCAATGCGATCTTGTACACGTTCGAATGAGATTTACCAATGTAATGCCGGTTTTCGTCATCGATTTTTAGTTTTGTCTGACCAGGCTTCATTCGGTTGAAATTGAAAAATAACATTATTGGATGATTCCGCAGGCACAATCGTTTGGAAAATGTGTAAAATAATGTTTTTAAAATGGTAATTTAGACGATAAAATTAGCAATTAACTTCAAAGCACAGTCCGTAATAAACCCAAGTACCCTGATTTGTTTGGCACTATATTGGATATATCAGACGATCGGTGGGATGGCTTTTTCTTCGTTCATAATTTTGAAAAAGTTTTCTTATAAATGAAAACCAACAAAGCAAGATTTGACTTTATACCAGCACGCAATTCTGCTACCAACCTTAAACGGATCATCCACGTCAGCGCTGCTCTGCGTTGAAAATCTTCTTCGTATTCCGTCACGAATTGCAAAGAACGGACTCACTCTTCCTGTGCTGTTGTAATCATCATTGATACAAGTACAAAAATATCCAATGCATGAGAATAATGCGCCTAGAACAACTAGAACTACAACCCAGAACCCTGGAATAAAGTATAAGGGTGCAGTATGTATTATAATAAAAATTTACGGATAATATGTTAAAGGGGATATGTAACAACTCATAGTTAATCAAGATAATTTATTGTTGCTGGACGGTATGAACACCTTGGTGTGGACACGGGACGCGTGAACGCAGTTCCAAATTGGGTACTCCCGAAGTATGTTAACCAAGATGGCGGACAGTGGAACGAAATATGTGTATCAGGTTAGAGTTAGGCCATAATTTTATTTCAATTTTCCTCATTTAAGTTCTATTACGAGTTCGGGGACTAGCCAAGTGACTCCCGTAGTATTTGTACCTGAAATTATGGCCTATCCGTAACCCGGTACACATACTAAGTTCCGGTGTCCGCCATCTTGGTTCACATACTTCGGGAGTACCATTAATTGTATAGTTTTCAAATACATCGGAGGATAATTATGTTTTCAGGATTGTTTCGACACTGCAGAGTAGCTTATGTGGCCGTTTGCAGATTTCTACACTAAACACGTTATTTCAAACTGATTGTAGGAATGATGATCGAGATAATGTTTTAAATTCGATATATTGAGTTGATATTTTTCTCCACCTTGGTTAAATATGGAATTCTATAATTGAATTTTACTCTGATTTCTATTTCACAATCAAAAGTATATTTTTTCTTTTTGTTGTTTACAAATCAAGGAAAAGAATTGGCCATTTCAAAACACGGCGATTTGGAAGAAGGTGGCACCGCTTCAAACTCTAGGAATAGACCTTCCATCGCGCATATACTCGTATGATTACTCTGTTTAATTCTAGATTAAATCGAGCAAGCACAGGGATTCATAACTCTCATATGAAATTTCCAATCAAAGATTTCAGCAGCTGGTCGAGTCCTATGTTTATTAAAACGGCAACTAAATCAGAAATGTTCTCAAACTTCTCTGCCAAGTTCATTTTTTTAGAATAAATATCAATACTTACACCATATTTTCCATATCGAATCCCAACAGCAGTGGCCATCTTGAAACCCGCAACAATATGCTGTTATACCTAAAAAACAAGCAACTTAACAAGTATGAGTTGATACGTGGAGATAATATGGGGATAATCATAAGAAGATCCTCCCCCCAAGTGGGTTCTGGGGGGTGGGGGAGGTGATCTTCCTTTGATCCTAATCTAACCCAAGCTAAGGCCGTTAGGGAACGACCTGGAAAGATTTTAAATTTTTTAATTTTTCTCTCAAATTTGCCAACGTTCGCGGAGCATCAGTATCAATTAGCTATAGGTTTTCCTATCCAGGAACGGAAGTTGAAAGAAAAATATTTCCTTAATTATTTATAAAGCGTTTCCAAATGAGTTCCGTTTTAACTTCCAGGAACATTTCGAGGCATATTGATAAAAATGCAATTTGAAGCTTTTCCGATTTCAAATTTCGTCGTTATTATAAAGAGCGCAAACGCAAATTTGTCTGCTCATATCTAAAATGCAAGTAATTGTCTTTTCGTGATTTTATATTTTATTCAATGAAATATCACAGTGGGGAAAATAAATTCAAAAATGACAGATAATTCCTCGTTGCAGCATTACATCGAAGTGCAGGAAAAGAAATGTGAAAAGCGGATCTTTTATACGAAGCTCACCCGCGAGTGCTCAAAAAATTAAAAATGAATAATTATTAAAATAGGGTTTGAATTGGGGGTTAAGAATGCAGATTGCACTGGTAATTCAAATTTTCAAATCATTCCTACCCGAATCAGAACCCCAACTAGATAATTCCTAATTTGATATTTTAAACTGGCGTGGTGTTTTCTCAAATTTCACGTTTATGCATTAGTGGTGGGAGTTGTGTACAGAACATTCGAAATAACAAAGGATGAGTAGGTGCCATTAGTTGTTTTTATACGACTCATATCATGCGAACGAGGCCAAGTATAAACATCCACTGACATGTAATAGTCCAGAAAACAGCCAAAACCGAATATTTACTGTTTGAACACATTCTAAAAAAATATTTTTCGAATGTATAGAATGCATTATAAATGGGGCAAATTCATGTCGACATAAATATAGGGTTGATGTTTTCTCGGTGTTGTTTGTCATTAGTTGAGATTTCAAATCAAAATACAATATTCTAAATTATTCCTAAAATCAAAAATATAATGAATTTCGGGACATCCAGAAGTATGAGCACCAAGATGGCGCACAACCTGAACATAGTATGTGTGTACCGGTTAGGATTAAGGTTGTGTGACATCTTGGTGCGCATACTTCTGGAGCACCTAATTTCGAATGTATTCGAATATTCGATTTGTTTTAACATCCCCGAAATCACTACCACTGGGAAAGAGACTTTAACCTGAGATTTTGACCTGTGATGTCGTCATAGTTGAGTCTACGTAAATAGGCAAACTAATGCCCGCCGGACAAATCCGACCGGTTGGGTAATTCAATCTGTCTGGGCACTTGGCCCACTAGATGCTGCCACAACCAAACTAAAACCAAATTTTGATATTTTAGCTAAAAAAATAGACCTCAAGGAATTTGTTGAGATTGCGATTAAATTAAAATTTAACATGAGGCTTATTGTTTTCCGTTTTTTTCTCTGTAAAACATTGTTCATAAAATGTAAGTTTTACGTCACACTTACATGACCCGTCAGTCTAGCTGGGCAAAATTTTGGTACTACGGAAGTATGCGTACCAAGATGGCGGACACCGGAATGTAGTGACTGTACCAGGTTAGGGTTAGGCCATAATTTTAAGTACATATACTACGGGGGTCACTTGCTTAGTCTTTGAACTCGTAATAGAACTAAAATTAGGAAAATTGGAATAAAATTATGGCCCAACCCTAACCTGGTACACATACTACTTTCCGCCATCTTGGCACACATACTTCGAGAGCACAACATTTTTGGCCCTTGGTTCAAGAACATTGCCCACCACCGGTCTAGCGCAACCTAATTCACCGACTCGCATAACAAAGATGAGAAATTTTAATTCAAAGCAAGTCCGTGAATTATTTGAAATCAATGAGGCAAGTTTTAAATCATTAATCAATACTTACCGTAACAAAAGCGAACATGTTGACCAAACTCTGGCAAATGTGATCCGCAGAATACGTCAGCCTGTGGTACCAAACAAAAATAATAAAAGTTTATTTAATAGAGCTGAGCATTTTCGAATAACTGATAATTCCCAACATTATTCGAACATTATTTTTGAATCGAATCTCGAATACCTGGGAGACAATGAGAAATTCGTAAATGCATGTGACTATTTTATTGTGATTGGTCATGTCAACACATGAATTACTGAAACATAAAATACATAACTCAGACAGATTCCTGGGCGTTCTCACCCAATACAAAACACGTTTTTATCAATATCTCACTACAGAAAATAGTCATTTGTCAGAATTTCGTTGAAACAATATGGTTTCGGTGAAAAAGAATTGGGTAAGTCACCTCGACCATTGGCGGAAAGAAAAATCAACGATGACGGTGACAAAATTCCGCTCTGAACCGATTCGAATAATTAATTATTTTGTTTGATTCAAATATTCGTGCACAGCCCTATAATTTAAAAAAGTCTAAATGGTGCAATCAAAACATTTCTTGCGCCGCATGCTATTAATATAAAGTAGTAAGTATACTTACCAAGGTGAGTTCAATATATCCAAATAAAAGTAATATTATTCTGATTATATCATTACATTTCAATACTGATTTCCTGTTTGTAGTGTAACTATTGTAATACATTATATTAACTGTAAAAGAATTTTCAAACCTTTTAGAATTTGTCAAGTCTCGCTCCCCACCTCGTTAAAAATACGTGGATGGAACGTAAATAATGAAATGAGTGAAAAGTTTTGAAATGTAAATATCCAGAATATGGCGGGCAAGATAAAATCTAAAAAAGGATTTTATTTTTAATCAGCTCCACTCCCCCTCAAAAAATAGTCTACGCCCCTTTTTAGGGCGCGCTCCATCGTTTGAGAACTACTGCTATAGAGTGTTTTTAGGCCTTGTCTCCACGCTAATCTATAGATATGGCTGAAAATGTGCTTTACAGATATAGCGGATGGCAGAAACATGGAGGAGCATGCATTCAGATCTATCATAGATTAGTAATTAGTAAGACGGATGACCACATTCGCGAAACCAGCTGTACAAATTCTTGCTTACGTCCTAATCTGGTTTGCATATCACGGCCATTCACGGATCCCCTTCGATTTATTTTCTAATACGATCATTTCGTGGTAATTAAAAACGGCAGCTTAAACCCATGTTTCCTAACCGGCGAGAAAATCTTTCACAAATCAACTTTCTTTTCTGAGAAATTTTGCTTTGTATTTGCTATAGTATACTAATGTTCTTTAGTTTGTCCTTATTACTTATTAATTTTATTATAATACTTATTCATGCACATCATATTATAAACTACCCAAACTGTACAAAAGCTGGAAGGAGACTTGCGCATAATACTAGCTAAGTGATGATGGCCAACAATAAGCTACAAATAAAAGATGATAAGGCGAAAGTATGTTTTATTAAAAAACACACACAAAATTATGGCCTAAGCATAGTCTGGAACAGTACCCAATAAAGTGTATTTGCCGGTGGATATTACATAACGTTTCGTGAGCCTAATAATTCATCATATTTGTACACGTGGTAATCAGCAGCGATGGTTAACGATACTGATTGGGATCGATTAAGTTCGCTTCCAAACATATTTGGTTTGCTGATTAGCGCGCCTAAGCTTTTTGTCCCAACTGTATCACGACACGCATTAAAATATATATACGGTGACCATAAAGTCTTTTGCGAAGGGAAATTATCGATACCATCTATTGTTTTGGCCTGCACAGATGTCTTAAATGTCGACACCCTAGATGTCGCACTTTATGGACACCCTGTACATCTATTCTACGTAATCTTTGATAAATGTAAAGGCACATTTAATTAACCTCTCTAATACAAAATCTCGCTCACTCCCTAATCAGGTTTGCATATGGGCATTCACGCCCGCATTGAATTTTTCTGTCTGACGCAATTTTTTTTTTTGATCATTTTCATAAATACAACATCATAACCAATAAAGTGCAATTGCGGCGACGATAGCATCGGATGGTGAATGCTTTCAAACCTATGTAGACCTGTTAATTCATCAAATTTGTAGACGTGATAATCAGCGTTGGTTAACGCAACTCTATCGATTGGGCTCGATTAGACTCGCTTTCAATTCCCTGGCTAAACATATTGGTTTGCTACTTAGTCTATGTAGTCTAATGTAATTAGTCTAATATGTCTATGTAATCTCTGATAACTGTGAATGCACCTCTAATCAACTCCCTAATACAAACTCTCGCTCACTCCCTAATCTGGTTTGCACATGGCCATTTCCAGTCGCATTGAATTTTTCTTCTGTCTAACGCAATCTTTGTTGATAATTATCATAGATACAACAGCCTAACCAATAAAATGCAATTCGGGCCACGATAACATCGATTAGTGAAGGTTTTTAAACCTCTGTAAACATGATAATTCATTAGATTTGTGAACGCGATAATTAGCGATAGTAGACGCTACAGTGATCGAGTTTGGCTAGGCTCACTTCCAGGTCCTTGTTAAGAAAATTTGATAAGAAAACTAATCATGTCTATGCTTTTTAAATCACTGGCGACATACTTTTGTCCCATCTGTACCACAATAAACATATATCTATCATTTATGATCTTTAATTAATAAACAATAATTCAACCTCTTTATATCGACAGCTCACAGCACAAATTCTATAATGTTGCCCATATGTTCAACAAGGCTCACAATTAGCCTACGTATATTCTATATACGTAAAACTGTTAAAATAAACTAGTTCCATTTACATTCAATTTTCGGTGATTGTATTTATACATCCAACATATGTTAGCCTTTTTTCTATAACGAAGCTCTACTGAAAACGCTGTTTAATAACTAGCACAGCTTAGCCTAATAAAAACAAAACAAAAAAGATTAGAGGTAGCAAAAATCGTCGACATACCACGAAAGCAACAAATAATTTACAAATTTTTTACTAGCCCAATTCCACATTCTTATGCTATTTTTAAACTCAATCCGCACTTGGTAATGATATAAAAATTGTAATTCCACCACAATTAACGGTACATCCTGTGCGTTATGCATAGACTGTCGTATTATGCTTTCAACAGCTAGTAAACGAAGTACAGGAAATCTGAACTAGTATTGCGCATTCTCTGCAAACAAAGATTTAGACTAGCTATGCATGGCATCTCTATCGCAGAATTAACTATTAAATTGTTCGGAATTAAAAATATCCGATTCTAGTTATAGTGAATCCTATTAGCAACGAATCTTTATTAGTATTTTCCCTTTCCTTTCTATGATTGACCTCCAAACTCTTTTTTGATGTATTGTCAGTGCCACAGTCAGTCTGTTATCTCTAAAGCAGTAATCGTTGGATTATGGGTTAATGTAAATTAATATCAAATCTTATGGTGCTTCTAATTTTATTTATTATTTATTTTTAAAGCAGGTTCTTCTTCATTTATAACATTCGTACATTGTTTATCTGGAGCTTTCGAAGTATGTGCACCAAGATGGCGCACAACCTGAAAATAGTATGTGTACCCGGTTAAAGATCAGGTTGTGCGCCATCTTAGTGCACATACTTCGGGAGCACCGTTTATCTGCCCTCGGTACACCACACTGTCTTCCCTGTACGATATCAAGTACCACCTTCCATTGTGTTTCCAGTTATTGCTCTTTTCTACCCCCTTAGTTCCCTTCTTGAAAACCTAATATATAATTCAATTGTCAGCTTGTCAAAAGGCCTTTTCGAGGTAAAGCCGATGAACAAAACATAATACAAAATAGAAGTGCAGATCATGAAAACTTGGAAGCAGCTAAGATCTGAAATTATACCAATGGCCTCTTTGAATATCGAAATTGTATTCAATTCTGAAATATTACGACGGGGTCTTTACTGCCTCGATGTATAGTTCTTATACGATAGAAAAACTTCACTTTTAGTTTTCTAGATTATGCGTACTAATTATACTAAACGCATTATGCGCATAGAAATAGGTAATGTAAATTAGCCCCAAGAGTACCTTATTTAAACTAATTATCACTAATTACAATTCAGTTGATGATCAGGTTGAGCTGATGGTATTGGCTAGTTAATCCATCCGTATCGGGATATTTTGTAGAAATTCTTTGTCACTAATGCAAAAATGGGATGAATAATGGTGCAAAACTATATTTATTTAATTAAGGCACTATTTCAGATTTTAAAATTAAATACTCAAATAATTTGCCCATCGCTTAGTCGTCTTTGACATTATGTGTAATGGACTACTGTCAATTAGAATTTTAATGGAATACAAAAATAAACAAGAAGGAACAAATTATATTTATTTCAGATATCAAAATGAAATACTTCAATAAATTACTAAATGCTAACAATCTATGACGACGACTGTCTGCTATCATATGACTAATTGAATCTAAATCTTGACTGAAATTTATCTTCGTTTCACGATTTTCATCTCAGACTCTGCGCTTTATATTCATATAAACCCTTAACGGCGTGTGTGGACTTATACTATAACTTAGGAATGATTAGAATCTTGAGTGCAAAAAAGCACGGAGATGCAACAATATATTTATTTAATAACAGCACCGATTTAGATTCAAAAAATGAAATACTCAAATAACTCAATTTATAATTTAATAAAATTAATAAAATTTGCTGAACGCTACTCGCGGCAAAGTGTGTTGCCTCATGCTATATCCAACGATTAGAATTTTAAGTCAATACAATACAAGAATGAATTAAGAAAACTATCTTCATTTAACCTTCAAAATGAATTATTCAATAATTTACTATAAGCTAGTCATTTTTGACGTCGTTAGTGACTGACTGTCTGCTTTTGTACGTGCACCAAGTTAGACTCCTAATTGAATGCAATACAAAGCCGAAGGCACAAAATTATATTTATTTAGGACATAGATTTAGATTTCAAAATAAAAATTCTCCAAGAGTGTATAAAATTCTAATCACGCTAAACGGCGTGTGTTACTAATAACTGCCTTAAATTCTAAATTCTAATAGAATCTTACTTCAAAAAATATTTTCTTTCACAACTCACATCTCGGGTTCTGCGCTTTATATGCATATAATATGCTCTAAAGCTGAAGCAATTGACGCCTCTTTGTTTACGTTTGTCTAGATCAATCATATTACATCAATATTCAGCCTCATATTGAACATGTTTAAACACGAATATGCACAAAAATATGTACAAAAGAAATAATAATTCAAATAAATTTTTATGAAGGCACTGCAGCACGACGGAAGCGCAAAGAGGATGATAAACGACTAGGGATAGGCATTTTTAATAATCTGGTGAATTCAAACTCGAATCGATTATTTTTTGAAATTGAATCGAATCTCGAATACTTAGAAGATTGCTAATTATACGTGACTTTTTTGTTGTAATAAGTCCTCAAGACTCACAAATTACTGAAAACATGAATCCATCACTAAGACAGTTTGAGGAGTTTCACACAATGAAAGAACATGTTTTATCAATAAATCACTCGAAAAAAGGGAGTCTTATGTCACAATTGCAATATAAGAAAATCGAAATTGGGATCGAAAAAGGACAAGACGGAGGCGATTCAAAATTTCCGTCTGAACCGATTCTAATAATTTACTATTTGATTCGAAATGCCAAGTCCTATAAA